AAATTACAAACTCATCGATAAGAGGAGTCCTATCCTACTTCTACAATATTTTTTCAACTATCAGAGCATAGTGAGTGTCGATTCGAAATGCGTTTTTCTAAGGTACATAAACTGTTGGGACTGACTGTATAGCCAATACATCCTTAAATGATATCTACGATGTTACATTGTGCAACTTTGTTGATACCGTTCGGCGTTGTGAGAAAAGTTGATTTGATCGGATTGAATATATAAAGTTTGTACAAATTTTTAACAGACAATGTATTCGTTTGCAGCGGACGTCGCGAAGTCCAAATGGAAACACTTGCGAGACAATTTCCGCAACGAATTAAAGAAAACTTATCGAGGGAAGTGCGACGGTGGCAGCGAGCACGATTCGAAATGGGTTTGGTTCAAGAGCCTGTTCTTCCTTCGGGATCAGATGAACTCGAGGGTGATCGGCTGTACCCTTTCCCAGAATTGCTCGGCCCTGCGATCGTCGCCGGACGGTACTCAGATCGAACCCCAGATCGACATATTGGAAGGCCACGAGGAGACCACCCAGTTCGACGATCTAGACGGCGACTCGTGCCATTCCCTCTTGTCGAACGACGACGGTTTGCACCAAGTTATGCCACCGCCGAAAATGAGTAAAATCGGTAGGAAGAGGAGTCTGATGGACGCGATGGAGAACAGTTATTCCGAGGTCGACAGGAAGAGATTCGAGTCGCTGCACAAAAGGTTGTCGCAAGAAGAGGAGGACGACACTTATCATTTCCTCATGAGCGTTCGAAATCCTATGAAGAGTTTACCGCTCGACAGGCAAATGTTCGTCAGGTTGAAAATACAAGAGCTCGTTTATAACGAGATCAACTCGCAGAATCAACAGAATCGAACGTACGAAGACGTGAAGCCACCGAGAACGGGGAACGTGGGTGCTACGGGACTCGTGGGCGGCGACGTCGGCCTCGGCGAAACCGTCGGGGGTGGCATCGATGCCAACGGTGACGCCGACGATGGCAACGGAAACGGTAGTAGCAGTGGAGTACAAACCGTCAACCACCCCGGGTCGTTACTTCAGAATTGCGCGACGGAGGGTTCCAACGATGATACCTATTTCGGTTAATTTCATTTGACTCTTAAGATTTAAGAATTGTAATTTTATTCATAGGAAATAAACGATGGTATTTTTTCAATATCTGTTTTCCTCTTGTAAACGTACTACTTTCACGAGCACTGACCTAGATTTCCTTTAGATTCTCTCTTATCATCGTTCAGGACGAATTGATCATTAAGGTGAATCGTGCATTACGTGCGACCTGTTTGAGAACAAGTTGGACTACTCCACTCGGGCACTCGTGGTTTTAACTTTCTATACTTGATACGCATAAAAGAAGCGAAGGAAATCTTAACGAAGATACGAAACGAGAATTTCATGAAAGGCTCGATAACGAGGTACTCGCAGTTATGGAATAACGAATTCGAATATTGTATCGCCGGTCGTTTCCGCGATCGATACGTAGCCTCCGATAGTTACGAAACGGAAGAAAATGAAATTTTACAAAATCCTCCTTTCGTTAAAAGATTCTATTTTACAACGACACCGAACGAAATAGCTAATTATAAGCTAATCTTCTCATTTCGCGAGAGCACGTCACGATGAAACGTATCGTGCACAGAGCTTTCAGTACCAACATCTCTTCTCTATTCTCTGACGCAACTTTCCTCCCTATTGTCTCCGCGTACTTACGCTGTCTCGCGACTGCTGCGTTCGCATCGCTAACGCTTTTCATCGAGGGATCAGTTTAGTGAAAACCCATTTCAGTTTCCTAGTTAATCACCTAGTAGTATCCTTCATTCACAAGGTCCTCACGTATTACAGGTCTTTAAGGATGTATTGGCTATACAGTCAATCCCAAAAGTTTATGTACCTTAGAAAAACGCATTTCCTATAATTAAAAAGAAATCAGAAGTTGTTTTCCTTCTAATTTCGATATTTAATGAGTTACATATGATTATATGGCATTTTATTGATGTTGACAAAATCCGACCATCCCAGCGTCGAAACGGCGAACTTTTGGCAAAAAATTTCATTTTTCCTCAATAACTCCTAAACCCTTGGAGATACGGGAAAATTGCATAGGACCTTTCTTGTAGAGGACGACGAGATCTACAATTTCTGTACAAAAAGTTTTCGTTAGCATTAATACTTTACGAGTTATTGACGAAAAACGAAAAAACAGTTTTTTACAAATTACTTGCAAACTATCAAAGCTAGCAAGAAACTTTTATACAGGAATTGTAGATCTCATCGTCCTCTACAAGAAAGGTCTTATACAATTTTTCCGTAAATCCAACGGTTTGGAAGTTATTGGTCAAAAACGAAAATTTGGAAGAAATTGAAGGGGTACCCCTTGGAAAAATCTCGGAAAAATCGAAAATTTTTTTTTGTTGTTTATTATTAGCAATGTTCTTCCGACGTCTGATTTCTTTTTAAAAAATGCGTTTCTAAAGTGCATAAACTTTTGGGATTGACTGTATAGCCAATACATCCTTAAACCCTCCGTAAAGCTTAAATCCAATCTCATTGGATTCCAACTGAAATCATGTTACGATTCGATACCATAAGTATAACTAGTAGATATTATCTTGGGTTGGCAACTAAATGATTGCGGATTTTGTTGATAGACTTTTTGCTTAAAATCTGATGATCACTTATTTGCCAGCTTAATAAAAAGAAATATGAAACAAGCCAGCATTTGCTCGATTACGTGAGTAGCTGTAACTCCTGATGCGGTTCGATCGAACAAACCGTCGCGCATTCCACACACACACACCATTTTAATATCGAGTACGAGAACACAATGGAAGAATCTATTCCGATACACGGCGTGTATCTGTCGCGATGCATATTCAACCGATGTCCTAACATGGGAATCGAATGGGCCTATAGAATCGTACGTCGCGCGTTGTCCTGCACGCGAAGATAGAATCGTTTGCACCAGTTCCTCGGAAACTGTTCGCCGTTTAGTCGTGCCTGTGGCTGCGGTTATTGAACGGCCAGTGTTTCCAATGCGGATTTAATTAAACCAGGTTATTAGTTGCATAGCTTCTCGGAGACTATAGGTAGGCTCGCTTCGTAGCGGTTAAACGTTACGATCTTGAAAAGAATTTATCGGACAGGGAAAAAGCATGAATATTGAGCTCTAAGCCGCGGTAGGAACAAAGCTTTGCTTCGTTATTATCGACAAGAAATTCGGTCGTTATTTAACACGACGTAGTTCTAGTTGTAGGTGTACATTTAAATCCTGATAGAAATTGGGTTGAATCACATTGGCCTAGCTGTTCTAATAAAAATCCCAGTGTAACCCAAGCCTGTTGGCAGAAACAGGAAATAAAGCGAGAGTAAGCGCATCTACGTCTAACATAAGCGTATCTATTTTCTTTCCTTATCGTGGAAATCGAGTCTCAAGCTCGGACGAAATAATCGTTACACCAACATTGAGAGACTTCCGGCTGTGTTCATCGTAGTAGTTGTAAACGACGCAACAGTTGCATCACCGATGCGTTGATAAGTGAAAATCGGGAGATCGTTTGCCCTATCGTTTGCCCTATCGTTTGCCCTCTGATGTTCTCAATACACCTTCTCTCGTCTACGCACCGGCTTTTCGTTACGTTTTCCATGGGGATTCGCGAAATAACGAGGTAACTTTTCGTTCGGATAGAAAAGCCGCATCGTCTAGACGGGATGCGCTATATTTGCACGGTATATTGCACCGGTTGAATAGCTTATTCGAAAGTCTGCCGCGTAGTCTGCTCGGCGGACCACCCGGTTTTTCCGCACAAAGAGGATTAGCATCGTTCTCTTTGTCTTCCGTTTTCTTCCCTCTCTCGCTCTCCCCCGGTCTCCCATCCCCCCCTCACTTTCCGCGGTATCTTCTTTTCCTTTCCTTCTCCGCTGACAAGCCATGGAACACCGTGCTTTTCCCGTCCCGTCGTCTACCTAGCTATCTCAGCGTTACTCTCCCTAACCGTCTTCGAGTCTAATTACTTTCGAACGCGATCTAAACGCTTGTATCCATTTCTATCACCGGTGCGTGTCGTTATAAACACGGCAATCGTTGCATCATTGCACATAAATCGTAGAACGTCATGTGGTACATCATTAATAGTAAATCGCAATTCATTTAACTACGACTAAATGTCTATCTACACTAACGTCACGTCGACGTAACGTAGGGTCTCCGTAGGTCGTAGAACATACGTTCGGCAGTAGAATTAGAGCTGTAGTCTTTAGGACAGGATATAGGAAAAAGCGTGTAAAAGCAGGGAGTTCAGGGGCCCACGTTTGACACCGAATCGGCAGGCGTGAGATGAGATGTGATGTGAGACTGCCTGTTGTTTAGAGTTCACTACCTGTTTCGAGGATTCTTTCGCTTTTCCATATATACTGTCCTAAAGAAGACTACAGCACTGGTTCCGCTACCGAACGTACGTCCTACGAAGACGTGACGGTGACGTTACGTTAGTGTAGATAAACCTTAACATATTTATCGATACACCATGAGACTTATAAACGTCGGACGACGGTGTTACAAGGCTCAAATATGATACAAGCGATTGTTTATATTATCATGTTAAAAAACGCGGATGAAAACCGTGTTTACACGTTTATATCGAAGCGATGAACTGCGTGGCGAACGAGTCGACTGTCGGAGCCATAGCGGTTGAGATTTTCTTTGATCACAAAGGAAAATGCAATCGCCACCCCTTTTCTCTATCCCCGCGACGAGACTGGTGCTTCTCTTTCCTCGTCGCGGGTTCGCATTCTACAATCAGAGCCTTCCATGACGTACCGGGTGATGTCGAATCAACAACGCACGTGAGACTAAGAAGAAACGTCGAAGAAGAATTAATGATCTGAGACCGCTTTGATTGTTCGGTACCCTTGAGAACGTCGAGGCTGCTTAATTTTCATTAGTTTTCCGTTAAAAAGTGGGCGCAGGAAAAAGCGGTCGCGGCACAGCGAGTACCGAGAAACTGGTCTCACAGTGAAACCTGACTAACAATGGGGTTTCTTTCTCTTCTACGATTCGAACCTACTAAACTGAACGACAATGAATACGATACAACGACCAGACCGCAGGTACGATGGATTTCTAAGAAAATTTAATATGACCTTCATATCTCCTTGACGCCTCCACCTATCAAAAAACTAGTAACAAATGATCAGCCCCTCAATACTCGATATTGGTTCGATTTTACATTTTTTCCTGTCACCAATAGGAGCCAAGTTATTCAGGTGGCCTGTTTTAAGTGTCTCACCCTGTATAGATGTGTTTATCGTCGATATTATGATATATTTATGATCAAAAAGATTGATAGATGACTTCTTCGAATGACAGAAGTTGCATAAAAAACTGTAACGATAACTAGTTTTTCAATCGGATGTTTATCGAGTCTACCTGCAGTTTGTTTGTTCTACTTTATATGATATCAAGCTATCTTTCTCACGTAAATAAATAAGGATCCACTAATCGCGAACCGATTGCGTTACCGATGGCGAAGCTGAACTTGGTCCGGTCGGTGCGACACGCACCAACAGGCGAGAGCGAGCGAATGGAAACCAGGCACTGCCAGTGAAACGAACGACGAACCGACGACGACGCACTCAACCTCTCCAGTGAGACTTGAGCTAGCGTTCGAACCGGTGCATGCCACGCGATTTCTATTCGTTCACACGATTCTTTGCGAGATCGACAAACGAAATGGACGTTGATGCGGAGTATCGAAAAGTTTCCGATCGGAAGTGACGGTACCGGGAATTGTGTCGAGTTTCGCACGTGTTCCGGTTAAAGGGATTTGCTCGCTGGTCCGATGGCCAGGAAAAATTACGTCTCCGGAGAAATTGGGAAATCGGTAAACCCGTCGGCGACCAACGGTAAGTGGTATCATAATCCATAATGGTATCAAACGATCGAAGGAAGATCGACACTTATTGTATTATATTTGTTAGTCGTAGTCTTAATCCATTTTTTATTCATTTCGACTCTTTTGTTATACTTATTTAGAATTTCATGTTTCATGTTTTTCCTTTTCTTTTCTTTCTCTTTTTATTTTATGTTCATTATTTCTACTGTATTTTTACTGTATTCTTTCTATTGTATGCGATAATGGACGTNGATAGCGATAGTACGTTTCGGATTGATGCGAATTCATTCGACGATTCTCAAGCATGATTTTCGCTCGCAATCCAGTGATACGCGATGGTACAGTGTTGGAAAAAGTAGATTTTTACATAGTGCTATAATTTATTATAGCGAGGAGTGGAACAAATGAATACCGGTCTTAACAAGGACATGCTTTTATCAGCGCGAACCGTAATTAACTTGGCCGACCTTATGACACGTTGCCGTTCGACACGTTTCGCCCAATAGATTCACGCAAATACTCGCGGTCCACGATGATGCGACGATCACATGCGTATACTTACGAAACGATAAATTCTTTCTTTAAATGATAGAAATTCTGTGTAGAAAATTATGCAAAATTTGTGACCTCTAGGTTGCAGGTTTTACAGGTTTTTTTAGGTTTTCATAGAAAACGTGACGTCAAATAAATGTTAGAAATTTGTAAGAATATGAATTGTAAATATAAGTACAAATCATTAATTTTGAAGTGTAACAGAAATATTAAACGTCCACGGTTATTCGCGCTTCAAGGCGTGATGTAATTGCAAGTTAGGAGCAAGGAGAAGCGAGTCGAGCGCGTGTGCGTTGGTATTGGCGCCGCGGCGCCTACGTTGCAAAAATCCTTTCTCGGGGCCGCAACGCTCCATTGCCGATTACGTAGACGCCAACTTTCGTTCTCCTGCACTAGCTACGAGCGAAAGTGCATCTTTCGCGAGTTTGAACGTCGCTACCTTCCCCTCTGCATACTTCGGATACAAACCGAGCGCTCGTATTTCTCTTTACTACCCGAATAAGTAGCGTGCACGAGTCGCGGGATAGATAAGGGGAAATAGTATGCCTCGTGTTTCGTGTATTTGGTAAAACGAACTTTGTGACAATTTTAATTCCTTTCGTCTCTTTTATTATACTTATTTAGTATGTTTTTCTTTTCTTCCTCTGTTTATTTTATCTTATGTCCATTATATCAAGTCCATTTCTCGGCGGAAAGGTTGAAATTAACAGATAATTGTAAGAGCGTGTTCAAACAGGCAACGCTGTATCTGCCCAAAAATGAAACAATGTATGCAGTGAGTTCAGAACAAGAAAGCGAGAACAGTTAGAATTTAGAACCGCGTGTGCGAACGACGTGTAATAAACTCGGCTTGTAAAGAGTAGAATTCGAATATTTATTACCCATCTCCTACATAATAATACTAATAATAATAATAATAGTGATTCCCTTTTAGTCGATGTACGAATTACAGATTCGATATCTCGTACAATTTATGCATACGAGCGACCGTCTCCTGAATATCCAGTGACTCTTTTTTAATGTTGAATACCAAGGGAGAAAAATCGCGACAGATTAATTCATGATTAATTCGGTTTATTACCGCGGCTTGGCAACCGAATTGGCTGTTAAGACCTTATAAGACGCGAAGGTTTGCGCATAGCACCAGTTCTCTCGTCTTCCAATCTGACGAAACCGGCTCCCGGTTGCGTTTACTTTACAAATGTTGCAATTCCAACGTCCCGTAGGTATTTTACGAACTCTCGAGTACAATCGGCCCAAAAGAAACCGAGGTATCCATTCCTCTTTTTTTGTGTTTATCAGAGAAGAGTCCTGCTGGTTTGTAATGTCCAATTATGTGAACCATCTCGCTTTCCGTTTTTGATAAAGAAATTCGACGACGATCGATTACTTCGCTAAAGCAATTTCCGAGCAATAATGAAAGCGGAGAGTGGCGGTGTGCCTCGACCTCGAATACCCGAGCGAGTCTGTGCTTCTGTTGACAATTAACGCGTCCAAAGCACTGCGAGCCGAACGTCCAGGCGTGGCGGTGCATAAACCGTCGCACTCGAGCAACTATCTATCTTGTAAAACGTGTTTGCGCGGTCACGTTGGCAGCACCAGTAGGAAACCGCTTTCATTGAACGAACACGGACAGGCTCCGCCGGCTCCGGTCTCCGGGCTTCGGGTCGCCTGGTCGCGCGTTTGCGCAAACCTCGACGAACTTCGTCAAACGGATCGACCGGATCGACGAGACGGTTCGAGTAACGAGAACCGTGCGAACCCGGCTGGTTTGTCGCATGCGAGAGGTAATGGACGACTGGTCACAGTCATCTTTCGCGTGTTTCAATCGAATTGCTCATTGAACGGCCATCGATCGTGAGGAGAATTTTAGTAATGAGTTCGTCCCGCACGGTTTCAAGGTTGACGAACGAGGGTAAGAAAGATCTTCCTGCGGATGCGAGATGAGGAGTGATCGTGGCAGCGTAAACGGGAGTGGCGCTTGTACAAGCACGTGCAAACCTCCGGTCAGTTGGAAGGAGAAGAGCTGATTCAGCGGAGTGTTTGAGAAGACGCGTAGGCATACCTACACGCGGTTTCAAGTCTCACCGAGCCTCAGTCGGTAGCAACGCGTGGTCATCCACGTTCCGTCGCTCTTATATTTATTCCTCATGATTACGCGTATTCCTTGACTTTTTCAATGATCTACTGTTGAACATCCTGTCGTTCAAAGTAAAACGATCTAACGACGGAGCAGAAGAACAAATTGAGTCGGTTGAATCGCGAGAAGAGGCGACATGTCGGATTTGGTCGGATACTCGCACGAGTTCCTCACGGAATTCATTCATCTCTATCGGAGCTTCCCTTGCTTATGGCAGGTCAGGTATAGAGGCTACAAGGACAGGATACTTCGGAACCGCTGTTACGACACCCTCGTTCATAAACTGAGGGAGGTAAACCCGTTAGCGGACAGAGAGACCGTCATACGTAAGATCAACACACTGAGGACTGCGTTTAGGAGGGAATACAAAAAAGTGCGCAGCTCGGAATGGACGGTACAGGATCCCCGACATCGGTACAAATCTTCTTTATGGTACTACGACCTATTGAAGTTCGTCGCGGAACAGAACGAGACATGTCCGGTGGATGACGGAGGAGGCGACGCTAACAACACCGCCGCACACCCGGCTGAACTTTCGCAGGATGAGATTTTGGTACGACCTCGTGCAATTTTTCTCGAATCGTACCGAGACTGCGCGAATAGCGAACATCTTTCTCTCTCTTTCTCTTTGTTCGCTCAATCCCTGTCCCACAGAATCCATTCTTCGGGATCCCGATTCTCTTTCTACGTACCCGCAAACGATTTTGCAAGCTTTCTGTTTAGATTTTCGAGAAATGAGAGTTGGCGTTGGTTCGCCGGTGGAACGACAAAAGATTCTTTCGCGTCGCGCCGCATCGAATGCGTTGCAGAGTCGAAGAGCTGGATACATTTCGAGAGCAATATCTCTCTTCGACGCGACTCGACGAGCTCGTGATTTCTGTTTTCTTTCTCCTTCCATCAGATTCGTATGCTCCCTCCAGAGCAGGTAGTCATCGTTTCAGCTATCTCTATTCCTCCTTGCGAGCCTTTATCGATCCGATAATTTTCAACGAGCGTTAGAACGCAAGGAATTACGTAGGGATCGAAGAGGAAGTCGAGACACGCATTCGTTCTCAGTTCAGATCTTCGAATTTGCTCCTCGAATCTTTGAATTATTATCTAATTGGCCAGAATACTTGGCTTGATTCTCCTAAACCCTCTCCATTTTCACTTCTTAAGGCCGGTGTAATTCAGTATTCAGAGTCGTTGCTTATTCTTAAGATCGTCTTAAGAATTTGCTATCCCTGTCTATCCCATATTTCCAGTCCTTGTCTTGTACAGGGACTTAAGCAAATGCTTATCTTAAGAATAAGCAACGACTCTGAATACCGACCTTAGATTCGAAAGGTACTTAATTCGATCTGCCAACGTGGGCAACAGATACCTCAAACGATTTTAGACCAACTTCACTTGCACGTGGCGCCACAACCGGCCCAAAATCGTTTGAGGTATCTGTAGATATGTCCCATTCTTTCAGCCCGTACAAACCGACGTAAACAAGATGGAGCCACCGTCGCCCGTGCCATCACTGGAAGTCGTCCCGCCTTTCCAGCCGATCATCTTGGAAACCGAGGGTTCGTACGCGGAAAGGGGATCGCCCGACTCGCTCGGCAGAAATTACAATCATCGTGAAAGTACGTTTCAAGATCATCAGACGACAGAACAGAGCCACGAGTTATCGCCGCGTCACTTCGCCAGCTGCGTAACCGACGACGATTTCGAGACGTTCGGTCGTTACGTGGCTGGCAAATTGAGGAAATCGATGTTACGCCAGAGTATCATAGCTGAAAAAATAATCGCGGACGTTCTATTGAGGGCCAATCTTGGCACTCTCGAGGAGACCACTTGTCTCACGGAGAAAGTGCCCTCCCGTTGTTTTCTAATAATGGACGATCGTTAATGGTTTCACGCGATCAATCGATCATCTCTGTGTCTAATTCTTTTGACCATTTCACGATGTGTCTGAAGTTAATAATGGAACGAGCGATCCGACGATTTTCAGAGCGTCGAGAGGTCGTGGGCAACCATGGCAACTGGCCAGAAAATGTTTTTGTCTCCTTGGATATTACAAACAGATGGTTGAGAAATATATGTTTCACTGTACAACGTTTTCTCTTTTCATTCAACATCCTCAAATATCCAAACCTAAATGAGACGTCGTAGCTGTTACTCTTCGTTGAAATCATAGTAGATATGATTTTACGCAAACTTCACGCCAGAATCATTCTAACTGTCCTACTTTTGTAAACCAATCTTGACGTTTCACTTCATATTAAAGTGTTTGAAGATAAGTGACATTAATTTTGCAATAGACATTGTTGAAGACTACAAATTCCCGTTGCCTGAACACAGCAACTATTCTTGTATGTCGATCAGGTATGGTACACTGATATTAATGTAAAATATGGATTGTTAATACAAAAATTTGCAACGCGACATGTTCCGTGCATTAAAAAGAAAATTTAGCAGCGGACGAGGTGGCCGAGTGGTTAAGGCGTTGGACTGCTAATCCAATGTGCTCTGCACGCGTGGGTTCGAATCCCATCCTCGTCGGATCTCTTTGTTTTTATCCTTTTTTTTTCTCGAACTCGTACGGTGTAAATATATTTAAGCGTCAAATCCTTCGTAAAAATGTTTGTGTTGGATCCTCTGTAGGAATACTACACGTAGTTGTGTTGCACGTACTTTTCATTATTGGACACGTGTTTTTGAGGAAAATGTAAGAGAATTAGCTGGCAAAGGTTCTTCCGTATGATTTATGGCACGGATTTTACCTGCGTACCATGTATCTTTGCTAGATGTCGACGTTTTGTAGGCGTTTTAAACCTAAACTGTTGCGCGTTACAATAGGATCGGCCCTCGACAATACGACTCGCAAGTGTACGGCACGGTTTAAGGTATACGCGGTACTCGCCCCTACTTTAGGCCTGGCGACCACGTGTAGCTTTAATACTTAAACAAGTTTCTGAAGATTTTCCATCCACCGCAACTTTTTCCGATGGTGTTGAAAAAAACGCGCAGGAAAATATAGCCAGCTTAAGTAGCTTATCCTGGGATGGGCTAAAAAGCCTCGTAAAACGGGGATAGTGCTTTTAAAATTCTCCACGGTACATCGTCTGAGAAATTATTAAGGTTCAGCTCGATCACTTTAGCTGCTTACCAATCATAATGTAAGAGTATTATAACAATAGTGTTGCTTGAAGCGGATGTAGCCTTAGCATGAAATCACGATATTTTTTCGTCACTGCTTTTTTGGAACGGCGTATGGTTCCTCGGTGACGACGAATCGAGACACGTCCAGATGCGGACGTCGATGGCTACGTTTTTCGTTTAACCGAGATATATATTAATCTATCATCGTTACGAATCTGTGATTTCGTCCTCGTGACAGAAGAAAATTACAATAATTAGACCGCGGATGTTTATGGAAATTTTAAATAATTCAAAGACCCGCTGTATGCCGTAGTTGTACAGCCCGAGAAGTCTATAAGAGAGGCAAGTGTATCTACCATTGATCTCTGTAGAATACTGATAGCAAATTGTTATGGTTGGCGCGTCCGAAGGGGAGAAGCTTCCTCCTTAAAATGACGTTTCATTCATTTGGATTCGACTTCCGGCTCCGGAGATATCGTGTAAAAATAGCTATAATTCTTTTGCCGCCGCTATAGTACTTCTCGCACGCTGACCGACTCACCGGTAGACAGCCAGCCGATTCGCGTAACTAGGTCAGTAGTATCAGACGCTACACTTAGACTTTGGACACCTATATCTCCGGAACGGATTGAGCTATCGGTATGAATCAAAAGATAACAAATTCAATACATTTACATCAGTACCCCTCACCTACTTATTTATCATCGCGTAGGATCATTTCCAGGTAGATTCGTTAACAGGTGGAATCGTTGCCCTAAGCTATAAATGAGGATTTATGCAGATAAGCTCTATTCTAAACTAGTGAGCTGCCCATGTTGCAGGTTTAAGGGTCTTCATAAAAGTACCTTTCATATCTTTTTCCTTTAGCTTACTCGTCAAGGGTCTCCTGTTTACGACTCATGGGCTCAATAGGGTCCATTGCTGTTTTCCTATTCGCTAAATAAATCTTTTCTCGTCTGTCTGAGGACTGTGTGATACGTACAATTTTGATCCAGGCGATAGTTTGGGAATTATTTCACTTTATAGCGAGAAATAGCCGAAATCGAGTCGATTTTCGGCTAAATGTCGAAAAATTCCTTCTTTCTACGCCGATTCCCATGGGTTTTTCGTGCTGAATCTTCTTCTCTCGTCTGTCTGAAGACTGTATGATACGAACCTGAAGGTCGTCACCTCTTCTTAGACCAAATGGACCTCCACGATTTTACTTACTTAACCTAATTTTTATCCAATCCTCCGTCCGAGGCGCAAAACGAGCGAAGATGCCTCTGTCATCTGCCTGACTAGCTCAGTCGGTAGAGCATGAGACTCTTAATCTCAGGGTCGTGGGTTCGAGCCCCACGTTGGGCGATTAACTTTTGCAGTTTTGACGTGAATGATACCAGAATTCGAGTCTAGACCCTCCTTCCGTCTTATGATCTAAAACTCGTTTCATTTTTTATAGAAACGAGAGTACAGAAGTGGAAGTGCGAAAAGTAAAAGGAATCTCTGGCCGGTAATCAGAGTCGTTGCTTATTCTTAAGATCGTCTTAAGCATTTGCTTAAGTGCCTGTTCCCTGTATAAGACAAGAGCCGGTATTCAGAGTCGTTGCTTCTTCTTAAGATCGTCTTAAGCATTTACTGAAGTCCGTGTTCCCTGTACAACACAAGGACTGGAAACATGGGATAGACAGGGATAGCAAATTCTTAAGACGATCTTAAGAAAAAGCAACGACTCTGAATATCGGCCAAGGATTGGAAATATGGGATAGACAGGAATAGCAAATTCTTAAGATAATCTTAAGAATGAGCAAACACCTCTGAATACTGGTCTCTGAGTAGTTCTTTTGAACGATCTTGTCGCAGATGTCGAGTGTGTCCTGCGAGGATATTCACGTTTCACGCTGTTTAACAAGTGGCCTACTGGCTCAAGAGACACAGTGTCAACCTTTTGAACAGAAGGACATCGAACAAAAGAAATTCGCCCCCGGGTGGGCTCGAACCACCAACCTTTCGGTTAACAGCCGAACGCGCTAGCCGTTTGCGCCACGGAGGCGTTTTGATCGTCAATTTTTAGTACACATACGTACAATTATATTTACAAGATGTGAAGAAATCGTGAAAGACAGGGGAATGATAACGATAAGCGGAAGAGCAATGACGATGCAAGCGAAAATAGCAAGTTATCTCTACTTAAGCAGTACCGTACAACCTTGACTCGTCGCTAATGCTTTCGAAGACAGTAAAACCAGTGCGGTCGGGTGGGTCAGATGAACCTAAACAACAGGTAGATCAACCTGTAGTTTCGGTTCAAGCTTGCTTTTAAGTGCTTTTGCTATGCATACTCGAGATTACGGTTGCCTCCAGAGACCTGCTGGGGCCAGGGATTGAAAAAGTTCCGGAAGCAACTGTTTCAAACTGTTATATATCGGTTCTGTTCAAAACCATTTTGTTAGAAGTCGATATTAAAAAGTTGACTTTTTAGCTGAATGTCACTAAATTTTTCGGTCCGGATCACTATGCGGCGTACGAAGTCAATACCAATAGTGATAGTGTGGTTTGTGCATTATTTGCTAGAACAACTTCTAAATTAAGGGAACGCGAACTCCGAATCTGAAATGTCATCGTCAAGACTCTGGTACAAGGACTCTGTCTTCAAACGCAATGGGTTTCAAGAGTTAGAGGACCCGGAGAATTGAACTTACGAAGGACGTGGCAGTGCTTACACGTGTACATGCGAACAGACCTGCTTGAGATCGTGTTGTCGTTTCACGGTAAATTACACCGACGCGATGCTCATTTAAACGAATCCGAGTGAGCGGCGAAAGGGTGCGGTGCATATGCAGTTTAGGCCGAAAGCAAGCCGCGTGGAAAGACACGCGCGCGGTTGCCTCGAAGAAGAAAAGAACAATCGGTAGCCGCGCGCGTTCCGTCCGGGAACGGTAAAACGAGTTCGAGGGTGTCGCTGGTACATGGCACAATCAAGGGTATTCGCGGGAGATTCATTACAAGCGCAGCGAGGCGATTTCCGCGAAGGGCTCGTAACCGTTCCCTGCACGTTTTCGATCCCAGTGGATCAAATGGAACGAGTCCGACGATTCGAAGAAAAAATGAATTCCATCCGAAAGGCGTCGACGTAGTAGTCGATGTGTGAACGAATCGCGATTGAAAATAAAATAGAGGTCCCGCGATTAAGATGAGAAGCTAGTCGTTAGTCTCCCCCATTTTGAGCATTGCTGATTAAACGCCGTGAGGATACGGTCGTACAAGAGTAGTGTTTCGCGTTAATGAACCGTAATACGTAGCATACCCTTCTCGTCATCCAGCTCGTCCGCTTATCGAGCCGGGCTTTGAATCACAACGGAAAGGAAGAAAAAGATACCGTAAGCAAGAGGGAAGCTCAATTGACCGTTAAACGCACCGAACTCCTTTTAACCTGGGCAGGAGACAACCAAACGACCAGCAATTACCACACCCCTACGTCCACCGACTTCCTTCGCCGAAACGTGACCAGCCACTAACTTTTTAACGAGAACGTCTACTCTTGCTGACCATGAATTACAAGGAAGTTCTAATACGCTCGGCTTCCGACTCAACCCTTCACTCACCCTTAGAAATTGTTCTCTACCCGCTTTTTTCTTCGGACTTCAGTTAGGAGTTCCTATCCCTAACAGAAATATTTTACCGTTTCGCATCAAATACTTATGAGTCTGTGATGGATTCTTAAGCACATGGCTAATACATATTTATAATTGTTGGCACGAGATATGCAGAGCTTTTAAGATATCTGCTAATTTGAGAAAAAGAATGTTTCAGCTGAGACGTCTGCCACTCGCATTCCTATTACTTTCATACTCTATCCCTTTTCTTTCATTGCGCGTTAAAAGTGTACAAGAACGTTGGAGCCGTAAAACCGGTTCGCTTGTTCCCCGGAAACTTTGCGGCGAAACGAAATTATCGTGTAAAATGAAATTTCGCGTCGCGTTCGATTATTGCGTTACACTCGAGCTTAATTGAATTGGGAAACTTTCCCTTCCTCTCTTTCACGCCTTTCCATCCGCGTCCCCTCGTCTGTTCCTCGTAGGAAGGAATATTCGAGTCCAAATCGAAGAACCTCGGATCGAACTAGTCGACGACGAAAAATACTTCCGATCTTAATCTAATTTTAATAAACTGTAGATTATTTCTGTTCAGAATGTACTTGTGCTTTAAAGAAATCGCGTTTATTTTTGTATCATGACTATCCAAACTGGCTTTGAGACCAGAATATTCCTTAATCGCTCAAGGTGTATCGTGTATCATCTGCGACTACCTGCGAGTCCTAATAACCTTATTACCTAGTAAATCCCAGGGACCTACCCTTCCTGGCTAATTCTTACCCCTGCATGTCCCAAGGTCTTGAGTCCTCGGTTCGCCTGCGACCTCCGTATTGTAGCGAACACCTGAGTATACCTGACCCCAGCTGTTAACGATTATTTACTATCCTGTGGCTCTTGGAACCTGACACTCTCTGACAAATTATACTGCCTGTTACTAGCCCGTCCACACTCTTTACTCGAGATATACTAATCGTAAGGATAGATTGGATCACCTGACGACTGTCTCATTCCGGACTTGGTAATAATGAAAACGAAGCGACATAAATACGCATTCGAAATCCTGAGGCGAACGTAAACGCGGGGTCAACCGCGGATGGAATCGAGTGAAAAGAATCCGCGAACTCGGTAAGGTCGATATTTACTCTGGCAGAAATCCAGGGTCGTAACGGTGCCAACTCGGATGCGGATAATATCGCGTCCTCCGCTCGAGATATGCCGCGTAATTATCGCCTCTCGACGAATTCGCGCCCCCAATTTTCTTTTTCCACTCTCGCGACTCGAGAGAGATTAAACAGGGAAACTCGTGAAAAGGGTCGGCAGACATTCGAATTTAGCCGAACGGCGAAGTTCGCGAGAAACGCGAGAAAATCAGCAGCCAGCCATTCGGCCAGGTAATCGATAATTTCTTTTTATTCGAGCCGCGACCCCGAAAGGTATTCATTTGGAAGTATAAAAGCCGAAGGTTTCGATACCTTTAAACGGGTTCGCTCGGTGCTTCGTTAAAACCCGGGAAAATAAAGAGAGCCAAAGTCGGGAGGGAGTCGGGATAAACGATTATCGCGGGCATCTCCGGGGAATCGTTGCGTACGAGACGGATGAACCGGTCTTATCGCTGCCAGACTCACGAGAACGCACCGTGAAATCAGTAGAAGTCCGGTCTTTCTATTTCTCTATGGGAAGGGAATTCTCTAAAGTCCCCACGATTGGATCTGGCTACCCTACGTTGTCGAAGGGTGTCCCTGCTTACCCACCCTTGCAGGGACGTACTTTACGCTTGTAACATTGTATCTTACTGTTATACATATAAACGGAAACAAATAAAAATTCTTTATGACCGAGAAAAATAGGTGGAACAATTTTATAAACCTTACTTCTCTGTAATTGTCATTTTGTGTAAAAGTTCATTGCTTCAAATATTGGACAGAGCTTTCTATGTCTTAAACTATTGGCAGAGATCTTACGACTCAAACAGCCTTATAATAGTGTCCCTCTCCTACTCCGTGGAGATCATAATAGAAATTTAAACCATTATAATGAATAATTATGAGATGGAAAACGAGTGAGAACGGACAATTGACATGTGTGAAGTTTTTATCTCTTCATCTTCTATGCACTCCTATTTCCATTTACGATAATTAAAGCGGCGGGGATGCCAGTGTTTTATAATTGCCTGTCGCAACGAAACGAATGTCAATGTCGAGAGACAGTAACGACAAACATACGCGTACGTACTAGCGATCGTGGGAGTCTATAGAACGTACGTTGAACTCGATGCATTGTCGAGAAAATTAATATCGGTTAGTCAGCCGTTCGGTCTGCTAGGTCCTGGACAACGGGAGCTGAACGCGGGGACGAGGAGGGAATATAAAATCGGGTAATTCGTATGGTCTGACGGTGGGATAGGTGCGGCGTGTTCTCGTCGATACTCGTTCATCGTCAGTGGCTCATATCGACGGGAAAGACGACGCGGAAGTACAGCGGCAGGTAGAGAAGGGAGCGAGGAGAAACAAGGGTGGAACCACCCTGTCCGAGTACGGCCCTGCGACGTGCCCACGCAAGGGGTGCATACCGTGCAGAGCTGCCGGTCGGCGGCGCTCAGTCTCGTCGAAACGCTTGCCGAGGAACGTTTTTAGTTTACGCGGCCCTTGCACCCGTGTCGCGTGTCTCGTGCCCATCGTTTCTCGTATTTTCATGTTCCACCGTGCGCGTTCTCGATTCTACGTTTCATCGTTTAGAAACATCGTGGTGATCGTGTTCGAAATCGTGGAATCTACATTTTTGGAACAAGCCGTAACCGATGGGGAATGACGTTCGATGGAATACAAGGTAACTTCATTTTCGTCATCAAACCACGCATGCTTTCTGACATTTCAGTTGACGCTCGAACATTGACTTCTCGTGTCAAACGAGCTTGTATACACGTGCGAGGAGGAATTCGCGATGCCATGCGGTTTTCAGAGGTATCTCAATTTTTTAGAATATCTGAAAAGAATGAATAAATAATGATAAACCTGGTTTTAATAAGAGAAGCACGTATATAGATAGAATCCGTCATTGAGTACAGCCGATGACGGGAAGAATGGCAACGGGACAGGACAGCGCAGCCAAAGCGTGACCCGTTGCGTCGCGATGCGTCAACGCGCAAACCACCGCTGCCTCTTTCTCTATTCTCTAAAAAGATAGACTCGAAAACGCGGAAATACGATAAGAAACCACTACTGTGTAAAAAGTTCTTTCTCTCAGATGATTAACGTCGGGTTCGTTAATCTCTGGAGGCTCTTAAAAAAAGACCTGCTTCTATTGTCTCTCGAGTATTCGAGTGGCTGACGAGTAGAACGTTCATCAAGTGGAACTCCCAACTTAACGCGTTACAAGTAGAATTCGACTAACGACGATTACACGTTTTCGGCTGGCAGAGTCGTCCTGCCGCATAGGCGATGCGTTATCGTTACGTAACCACCGCTTAAGGTCGCGACAGACCAGACCACTGCATTTGTAATAGAATAGCAAATACGCGCTCTAATATGTACAGGTTTCCCGAACCGAACAGTCCTCGTATTCTAGTAGCTTTTTATGCACAATGAAACATCGAAAATAACTTCTATTATTGAAAATCTGTGATATGTGTGTGCAGTTTTTGACATTTCGTTCTTATATATTGTATTATTGCACGCATTATGTATTGCTTGTTGTATATCTATGTGTTTCCTGATACGCGATTGATTACAAGTTTTATTTCATTATTGATTAAAACTTTTTGAAATTTTATTGAAGTGCGTAAGCCTACCTCAATGACCGTAGACGCTTCAATGAAATTTGAAAAAAATTTTAATCAATAATGAAATAAAACGTTTAAAAATATATCTTCGATTTTCATCAATCATGTATGACGAAACTCATAAATATGCAACAAGCAGTTGAGAACTGAAAATTGAGAACTGAGGATTGAGAATTGCGAATTAAGAATTAAGAATTGAGAACTGAGAAACGTCTATAAATTCTAGCCTCAATGTTTCTATAAATGAGTAAAACCTGTAGTTTAGTAATAATTTATCTGAACGCTCTTCTCGCCTGTCGCCCCTTCACGTTCAACCATCCTAAACGATGCTCTTACTTGCTAGAGCAGCTCTCACGGCCCTTAAACACTCTGCCTATTTTTAAATAACCATCGAATACTTTTTAAGTCCATACTGCGAAGAAACAGTTTTAAAATAGCTTAAACGTTCCTATTTCTACCCGTTCGACCTTGCCAGACTCTCCCTCGCGCTTCGCTCTGCAGCCAGGAGTTAGGTAAACTAGGGCCGCGGGTTTCAATGAACGAGCGAATCTCGAGCAAACAGGAGAATATAAATCCTCGAATAATTTGGTGAATTCAGACCGAAGCAAGACGAAAATGATGTGAATCAAAATTTTCTTTCCCTTTTCTAAAAGCAGAAATAAGTCTGAACGTATTCCATTTATGTACTCACACACCTTTGAAAATAATCGATATAAATATGCAGACGTTACATGATAGAGAGGGAGGAGGGGGATATGTAGCAGCCGTCGCGTTATCGTTGGTTTAACGAGAGTCGTATGACGACGACGCCAGGCAGAATTCCTCTTCTGAGAATAATGCCACGATATTCGATCAAGCGAGTTGCAACGAGCGATACGGCACGAATCTCGTCGCGCCGGAAGCGGCGTAGACCGTTCTTCGTCCACGGGAAATATCGCGTGCAAGGGTGGCGTTGGTCGAAGGGGTAGAAGAGGAGCTACAAAGTGGCAACGAGTTTGTTCGAGTTCGTTACTTGGAACTTTTTTCAATAAAGTCCCGAGCAGAACGGGTTAGCATCGGGTCGTCCGCGAGAAGAGTTCGCAAAAGGCGAAAATAGAAACGAGAGGGAGAGAGAGAGAGTACACGGTGTTAACGAGCTAGACGAGGGGTGAGTCGTGGTTCTCTCGTGGCGTACTTTATTCCAAGGACTCGCACTCGTCCAGGCTGCGAAAGACTGTGCGAGGGGCAGGAAATGGAAGCGGGAAACGTTTCCGGGATGTACGGTTCTTCCTCGTCTAGTGTTCACCCTGCCCCGTCTGATATCTTACGTAAAAGCAAAGATAATGCTAGGGAACTCTTTTCCATTGTGAGAAATGTTAAGAATAGATGGATCAAACCGAAAGGGAGACAGTCTTATTATCTATGTTGAATCAGTTGCGATTTGTGATTAGCCGAATTATAAATAACGAACGATTTAATAAAGGAGCTATCGTAATATACGAAAGAACTTCATTAACAGGAAGACGTCTTACGTTAATCTTACTAAACATTTGTTAAATCATAACTGTGATGACAAAAAATGAGCACGTAGCTTCCGTCTAATGGCATGGCTAAAGATGACTGAATCTGTTGACTTTGGAGAAGGCCCTAGCAATGACGTTAGCATGACCAAACCTAAATGTGAATCTTTCAGGATAAAAAATGCTAGTAGTATCATCAGTATAAAAAGTGCTAAGAGTTCGCGAGGGGGCGTTTAAATTGATTAGCTCAAGAAGAGGCGGAGAGTCTGTTATGACTAATCAAGTTCCGGAGAATATTTCATGGATTGTCCTATCCTCAAGCGAAATTGTGTGACGAGGACTGGACTAAAACAAAACAGTCTCGAATAAAGCGCATTAGCTGCGCTCGCATCTACAATATGCTAAGCAAGTTCAACAATCTATAAAAATTCGTAGTCTACCTTCTTTCTTTGCGAAACGCAGCGTTACTTATAAACAATGAAACGTTCGGTGCAATGCGGCTAACAAGCCACGATGCAATTTACCGTGGTTGGCACCCTCGAGTGATCATAAAGCGGAGGGTGAAGCGGTGTTTTCGGAGGCGCGAGCTGAAAGCTTGAGATAATTGTAGGTACACTGAAACGACATTTAGGTATTCCTTTTGCTTTTCACCGAGGACAAACGAGACACTCAGCAAACGCGTTCGCGATTCTTTCCCAGCCGCAGTAACAGCAGCTGCGAAAGACCGATAGACACCGGCGGATGGATGGATGGATTATTTTCGGTGACGAGGATACGCGTCGAGGGTAGTTGCTTCGAATTAGCCGTTCACCGAGGGAGGGTGCGTCGACAACTGGAGCAAAGGGGACGCCTTTTGCCATTTCCCTCGACTCGTATCCTGATTAATGTTTCATTTAAATTCGCCGGTGAGCCGCGCGAAACCTATTTAGAGTAGGACGCGCGCTCCCTTTTCCAATAGACACGACTGACGAAATCCGTCACCGATTTCCTCGCGCCAGAAATAGTCGCCCGACCGAATCTGTCCCAATGAAGACCGACTAAAATACTGAAAAGCATTCGATTTTAAGTGGCCGCGGTGAAAACGTTCGTGGCAACAATAGGAAAATCAATTTCAAGTCAGTGAAGGGTAGTTTTCCCTCCCTTTTGTCGCACGTCCATCAACAATTTTACGATCTCACCGTTTCTTGGCCTCCGTACACGTTGGCCGCCCGCCAACCATCAGACGATTTCTCGGATACTCTCAGCCGGTGAGAAGAACGACGTTCGAATCGAATAGAATATCTGTATGCATTTACGCGTCGGCAAACTCGTTTTTCGTTTCAAGATGATAAGCTCCGTCGCGACTGTTGCCAACTGAACTTCTATTGCCGTGCGTCCGTCACGAGAGAACATATAATTCGGTTGCCTAGAGAGACGTATTAACCGGATTACGTATAAACGATTGCACCGCGATCCTCGGTTAAATCGTTCGCCTATCTGGAATCATTTCTGTATTAAATCTATATTTATAATTAGACCGTAGGTTTCTAAATAAATTATTTGTAACGTGAATTGAATCTAAATAGCCGATCTAAAGCAGTTGCATCGGGATGTGTCTTCGTCGCTCCCGTTGCACCCAGGACACTGTCGAAGCTATCGAACGTCGCGTAACCTAGGCTACGATATTCAGCGGTCAGTCGTCCGCGTGAAAGCGTATTTACCGAAGAATGGTTACGACGAATCCGCGCCCGATTCCTCTTGCGCCGCCTAGAGAAGCGATCTGTTTTGCGAGAGGTAGAAATGGAACGGGAACTGGGTACCTGATTTTGTCGATCCCGATCGATCGCCGGAAGTGACGGTTTCGCGATCGATCCAACCACCCTGTAGATCCCGGGGTTGCCTGGGGCATAGAGCTCGGAGGGTTGCCATGACGACCTACGTTGCCCCGCTGCAGCGGACCAACCAGCGGTGCTCAATCGGACAACCCTTTTTCCGACGCACACTACCGGCATTCTCGCACCTACGTATTTCTACTTATCTCCCGGTCTTCCTTATTCCACTCGTGAAATATCCGCTCGGTCCCGGGACCGCGGATGTTATTCTCAAAATAGAGTCCTGCCGGGATTTATCAGCTCGATCGCATGATGGAATAGAATTTCTTTAGCCTCGAGGGTCTAGAATGCTTTCAGCTCGCTCCGGTTGTAAAACATCCACGGAAAGTTAGTGTTTGATTTGATTGAGTCAAAGAGTATATCATAACTCGAATAGAACAAAGAGAATTAAATGAATTTTTAGTTAATTTTGAATCACTTCGTTAATTTCTTCAGCCCCAAATGTCAATAGGTTGTAAGAAAACGTGAAGCAAGTCCTAACTCATTTTCTAAACTGATAATGGAATTGAATTGAATCAGTACTGTTGCATGCGTCAAAATTGTGACACTATTTCTTTCAACTTAATGTAAGAATGTCATAAACGTGAGAATAAACCGTCCGCATTTTGTTGACCTCGTTAAAAGTAGAAAAATCCCGCTTTGGATGAATTTCTCTCTCTTTTACACGTCGATAGTAAGAAAAAGAAGCTATTCGTCTTCTTTTCTCTCAATCGCTTGGCCTCAAAACATGTTAATTTCAAATTGACGACTCCAAAACGAGTTTCCCAATTCCCTACAGATGCATGCGAATGTGACATGATACTAGTTGCTTATTCAGAACATGTTAAATATGCTGTTTCAATTTATACTATAATATAAAGGCAGCTATAAACACCCTTTGGAGTCTATTTGAATTTTATAAGACGTCTATCGACAATTATTTAGTTACCTAATGGAACCGCCGACCTTTTTGAGGATCTGGCTCGGGCTACCGTGAGTAGTTTTATATAACGCAGTGGTCCGTTGATTTCGATCGACCAATTTTCCTACCCGGACATCGTAGGTATACGGTTTTAAACATTAGTTAGCTGGTACGCGTTGTTCTCGCGAGAGAAGTCGATCGATTATCTTTATCTTAACGCGATGTTGCGCCGGCGCGAAACACGTTAACCGCGCAGCATCTTAATGAAATTAATCACATCCTCGTTAACCGTTCACCGATCGAACTTTGCACTGTTCCTTTCCCCCGGTCAGTAAGGGTTAAGGACCGAGCTACTGGGAATACGAACGAACGATAACAGCGAACCGTGCCGGTTCAATCGGCTTCGTTGTTCTTGAAATATCGTTCGAGGACTCCTTTATATACTTCTCCTCGCTCGAACACACACTTTCAACGGGTGGTGTCTGATATCGGAGATTCGGCGCCGCCTCAGTTCTTACTTTTCTCTTAAATTCCGGATCCGGTCGTACAGAAGGCATCAAGGCCAGTTGTAAGAGGCTACGTTTAAAGAAATATAAACAAAATGTGTTAAAAATCAAACCTTATTAAACAATTCAGCAGAGCCGCAAAAAGCCGATGTGTCCTAGTCAGGAGTTGACTAAAAAGCGTCTAGGTCCACGTCGCACTTTGTCGATATTGAGTCAGAGTCCCATGACTTCACCTAATGAGAAGACCATGTATGTATTCCGTTATCGACTTTATTGCAAATAAACAGTTCGGGTGCTGAACGCCTGGGCATCTAACCTCCATCATCTTGTCTTCCCAATTGCGCCTAAATACGTCCTATTCCTCTTACACAACAGTGAATCTGCTTCTGAGGTAGCATTCGCGAGAGTCAATGGTCCTATGATCTTCTTTAAAGGGTACAGTCGAACAAGGGGGTCAATTATGGCTATCTTTTGGCAGAAATCTCGCGACTCTCGCGACCCTAAATACCGAGAACTGATTTGATTTCGTGAACGCAGACGCGACCATTCAGATATTTCTCGTGCCCCCACGACAGAGTCACTCGATAAAACCGAGATATTACGGTAGAAGCTATTGTCGATTGTTTCGCTGGGCATTCTTCTGTTGCTCACTTCACTCGACTTGACAATGAAACCGTCACGCGATCATCTTTCCGCCTCGCTCTTACAATTAATCGTCTGCCGTGCGATTGATCAGCCGAGGTCCTCCGAGGTTTGGCACGCGGTTTGGGAACCTCGCGAATGAACAAAGCCAGCAGTGTTCTCCTTTCATCCCTTTTGTAGCGAGCTACGTTTTTTCTTAACACCACGGGAAGAAAAAGAAGAAGCGAGAGTCTTCGCCCCTTTGGCGACCCGGATCTGTTCTTTCCGCACCGACCGTTTTCACCCTTAGAAAACTCGCTTCCCTTCGCTCTCGGAGCAACATTTTTCCCCGGCGCGGTGTAAAGCGCGTTGCCCACGTCTCTCCACGTTCTCTATTGACCACGCGGTAGCGGACATCTGCCTTGGCGATAAGATCGGCGGCCGAGCTCCGAACGAAGCGATGTACATACATACGTAACTCGCGATAACATTTACTAGCCCGTCTTGACAGCCCCTGCTACGCTTTACGACGCGCCGCAGGCCAAACGTTGCGTATTCTCTCTGAACAACTGGGTCGCGGGCTTCCTTGGGAAAAAAAAAACTCCCGAGTGCCTAACGACTTCTGGTTGTTCCAGAAAGACAGAAACAAATCGACGTTCCCTCCCTTGGGGAGACAGAAAACATCGCGACGAGGGGACAACTGTTTTTCATAGAACTTTGTTACTCTGACACGGAAGAGGAAACTTGCGTGAACAGGCAGAAAGCGTAAAATAAAAGTCAGTGATGGAAGATGAGAGATTCCTTTAAAAATAATTATTTAAATAGAAAAAGAATTTGGATATACCGCGTTTTTAAAACCGACTGAAAAGTATAAAATAATTATAAAGCACTCGAAGGATTTAAAACGAAAAACGTGCGACGCATGCAATAGATAATTGATGCATGAATAGTCCCACGTTTTTCGTTTCAAATCTTACAAGTATTTCATAATTATTTTATACTTTTCAATCCGTTTTAAAAGCGTGGTGTATTAAAATTTCTTTTTATTTAAATAATTATTTTCTGCTTTTTAGTCCAAAGCAAGTTAATATTGCATTGTTCTAACCTATGTTTAAAATTTCAAGTCTCTAGATCATCGGGAGATTATTTTAAAATCAATGAGAATAAAAACGCAGTAAAGAATTGCTGGTCGAATCGTAGTGAAAATTCTTGGCTACTAGTTAGATTGATTTACGATATAAATTAGTAAATGTTTCATCAGTTTGCATACCTTCCGGCTTTCACACAGCCACGAGCGTTTAGTCACAGTTATCTCACCACTTCGCGACATTCGATCGTTTTACACGACTGTGTCATTGTATTTATATTACACAGAATTTCCTGGGAAGAACTAATTTGATATTCTAGCGAACAGCAGGGTAGGCGATGCGCGTATCAAAGGTATAAATCACGGTGAGAGGGCGGAAGCTGCGGTGGTAGAAACGCGCGCGATGGCGTGCCCGGAAATGAAAGCGCGAAGTTGCTAACGTTTGCTGCGACATCGTGGTCGGTCGCAGCGGTACTACATATTACAGAACTGCCACTCTTCCCGATGTATACGGTGCGTACGTTTTGTTCCTGTTGCAGAACCGTCGGCTTGTATTGTCGAAGAATGGCGCGAGGAGGAACTGCGCGTCGGTTCTCCACGCTGAACGACCAGTGCATCGCTCGCTATCAGCCGGGAGAGCGTTCGCGGGTCTGAGGAAATCGGATCGCGGAATGGACGCGTCCTTGCCGTGAGAGCTAGTCGGGGAAACGAGAAAAAGGGACAAGGACCGCCGATTCTTCGACGAGCCCGTCGCGTTCATCTTCATCGCGCATCATGTTCGGAACGAAATTGCGCACGTGGATGGAGGCGCATATTGTGCGATCGAAAAAGAAGAAGGATCGGAAGAAAGGGGAGAAGGGATGCGATTCGAACTGCAACTCGCCCCGGAACTACGGGCCGAATAGGTCTCCCGCGTTGCATCAAGTGAGTCTATCAGGATTTCTCGGAACGGGTCAGATTTCGTTCCTCGTAAAATATGATCGATTGGCTGCGAATGGCGTTCACAGTATCGATTAGAAACATTTAATAGAAACTGTCATTTAAGGATGTATTGGCTATACAGTCAATCCCAAAAGTTTATGTACCTTAGAAATTCCTAAAATTATGTACCTTCAAATTGGAAAAAATGCTTTTTTGTTGTTTATTATTAGCAATGTTCTTCCGATGTCTGATTTCTTTTTAAAAAATGCGTTTCTAAAGTGCATAAACTTTTGGGATTGACTGTATAGCCAATACATCCTTAAGCATTGCATCGTGCGCTTTTCACGTTCCGTACATAATTACGTGCAGCCACTTAATTCTTCTATTAATGAGAAAGCACTGTCTGTTTATCAAAAATACTTCGAGGTCAACGTGCGATAGAAATGGTTCCCTTTTGTCAAAAGGGAAGCTGATTAAGTGAAGAGTGACAAGAAGAAGAAGTAGAAGAGACGCGAGAAATTGGCCGCGTCCCTCGTTTCTTTTGCCGACTCGTTTTCCACTGGCAAGCCATAGCCGTCCAATTAGACGATGGCTCTCTTGCTACTCTTTACCTCTACTCTCTTCTCCCTTAATTTCGACTTTTTCCAAAACGAGACTTTCATTCGCAGGTTCACCCAGTAGATTCGTTGTCGAAGAGCGTGGACGGGATTCGATTGGCGGAACGCGGCCGGTGCGGTACGGCGACCGCGTCTTCGGCCACGTCCGCTGGCACTGGAAGTGTGAACCTCTCGTCGCCGGAAAGCGCTTACAGTACCGGATACTCGACGGACGGTACCTCCCCTGGTACCAGCTACCCGCCGGAGTATTATATCAATATCAGGACCGGCACCCATTACTTCCAGAGCAACGGGAACGCCGCCACGGCAAACAATAATAACAACAACAATAACAACGCGAGATCAAAGAGATCGATCGACGCGGCGGATGGCTCTGGACGCGGGCATGGAAGGTTCCAAGCCAACGTCGAACCGTCTACCTCCGGCACCGCGTTTGCTTCCGGAAACGTGACTATGGATAATAAGCTGTCGAAAGACGTTAATAGCACTCCGAGCAAGGTACCTAGTTCTCATGGAATATAGAAACTTTAATCTAAAAGTCGAATCAAACATGTCTATCACTGGATGATTTCGGTGAAAATTTTATAAAATATAAAGAAACGTTGCATCTGATCTTATGCGATCTATAATGACGTTCATTGTCGAAGATGTATTTGCATACAAAAGATTGTATTATCATATAAAATAATTGATTATTCTTGTGATTATTCTTCATCGTAAGATCTTCTCTATGTAGCGTTTGTTGTAAATCGTAACTCATTCATATGAGCTTTGTTATTTTAAACGATGATTCTTATTGATACATCATTAGGTTTATAAACGGCAACATACATATGACACGATGATACGCAATATCGATACGACACGAAACAGGCAGACACCTTGAGATGGACGTTAATAAAGCCGAATAAAAATTTGAACAGGTAATATCCGAGTCGCAGGAGAATTATCATCGACGGACAGAGTCGTTCTCGGCGGAATCGTCGCGAAGCAATCTGGTCGGAGGACCACCGTCTTCCATTCCACCGCCTTTGCTCTCACCATCGGTTCAGTCGCCCCGCGAGCGATCTCGCATCCGTACGAATCCGTGGCTGTCGGCGAACTCCTCTGGGTCCAGTACCGCCGGTTTCAAATCGAGGCTGAACCTCGACGACACCAGCAGCGGTTCTGGGTTGAAGTTAACGGAGTCCTCCGGAAGCGCCAGCGACGTGAACGCGAGCAGCGTGAGGGAGGAACGGATCAGAAGGGAGTTCAAGCAAGAGAGTCTCAGCGCTGGAAGGAGTCCGTTAGTATATCGCATTTTATTTTTAGCCGGAACGATCGAATAAATAAACTAATGAACGCGATGTTCGCGCCGTAGGATAAACCAAAATTGGAAAATAGCGTCCGGCATGGAGATACGACCAAAGATAGCTCTGTCCGTGCAACGACGCAACAGCAGTAGCAGCAGTACTAGCACCAGCAGCGCGAGCAGCGCCAGTAATAATAGCAGCGGTAGGAACAATAGCGGTAGCAGTAGCAACGCCGCTAGCAGTAACGAGAACGAAAATAGGAACGGGAATGAGAATGGAAACGAGAATGGGAATGGAAACGGTTCGGGTTCGTCCGTGTCGTCAGTGACACGAAGCGCTCGCTCGTCAGAAGACGATATAACGTTGAACGAGATGATGGGCAAATTCGACGAGAGCTACGTTTACGAGAAGGAGACCGATATTTTGTCTGACAGCGACCCGACCGACTGCGAGGATTACATCGAATCTCTATCGGACGTGGACCCTGGCCAGGACGCCGGGGACGAGAACGATCCCCTCGATAACGACGACTTCGACTACATTGACAATGGTTCTATCTTGGACCTGGAGAACCTCGACTGTGCCGGTCGCTTCACGAACACCGGACACTGCACTTACTTTGCATTCACGGGAGAGTTCGCTCGACGGAGCAGCAAGCTGCGTGAGACTCTGATGAAACGTAGGAACAAGGACGACGCGGCGATGCTTCAAAGGTACATCTTCTTCTCTAGACTTTTCTGCTTAATCAGAGTTCCAAGTGATGAACTTAATTTCTATTTCTAGAACGATCAGCGTGAAGACTACGGTGAAAAGGCATAAGAAACCGGAGGAGAAACAGTCTGGCGAGAAGCGGAAGAAGAGATCGTCGCAACGACGAAAATTGAATTTCGACAAGCACGATCCCAGTATTCTCGGGATTCCCGATGGCCATGACGACGAAACGGCGAATTTGAATCGCGTTTTAGTGGAGAGGATGCTGCTGAAGAATTCGGGGTTCAATCAGGGTAGCAGAAGCGTCGGTGGAACACCGATCTGCCTGCGTCGCAAGAAACATGATATTAATAAAAATTTGTCGCCGTTGCTCGCGAACAATGATCGATCAGTGATTATCCGAACCGCTGCCGGAGACGATGACATCGAGACGAAGAGACGCTCGAACTCGGTAAGTATTTCACCATTCGACGGCGTATGGTGAAATTATATCGTATAAATGTACATCGTTTATTTTTCGCAAACTCTCAGGTGAGCTATGTGAATGGAAATCTGATGAGGCGACGGAACATCGCTGGCAACCCGTACATGACCACGTTCGCCTCTGAAATGGCGTTGATCGAAGCGGACAAGGAAGCTGATAAAAAGTACCGAGAGTTGATTCTCGAGGCGGAAAATATTCTAGTGAACATGCAGAAGAATCAAAACAGCGTTCCTATCGTGCCGTCGCCTTCCCGAAAGCTTCACAACGGACTGACGAACAAACGAGTCGAGCTGATCAAGAACACCGAATTAAATATCGAGCTCGCCCTCTCCAAGAGCAGAAACTCTCAACCGGAACTGCAGAGTGGTAGCATCAAAGACATCGAGCACACCAGCCCCAAGAGGCAGCAGTTCGCCGCTCAACCGTGTTCTCCCATGCGCCGCTTCGCCGAGTTTAGGTCAGCGAATTCCTCGCCGACACCTGTTGGATCGTCGTTCCCGCTGAATCCGATCAAGTGCACGGTCGAATCTCCGCTCGCCTCGAGGAGAGCCCCGAGCCTGTCATCGCCCGATAGAAGTCTCTTTCGATGCGCTCGACCGATTATTTACGATCACGAGGAGTACGACGGACAGCGAACGATGACTCCGCCGTTTAACGATCTTCTGAATCCAGACGCGGACCGATTGATTTCGCGATCTCAGAGTCCTTTCCTCGCGAATAGATCACGCGTCGTTTTGCCGAACAGAGATTCTATGTACGGCGTGAACCGACGAGAATTCCGTGTCGCAAGATCATCGAACGTCCTCGGCAAAGAGGAGGGAGTCACGTCCAGTTCGTCAGACTCTGAAGAAAGATGCGACGTTCGGAGACGGGCACCTCTAATGACGTTCAGGTCAGAACCCTAGGTCTCAGCCTTGCATCGCGTATTCGCATTACTCGAAACTAATCTTTTATTTCGCCTGGGCAGGTCGGTGGACATGGGTCCCATCAAGGAAGGGTCGTCTTATTGCCCTCAAAGCGAGCCGGTGAAACGAAAAGTGTACGCGGGTAGTACCACTTACGGTAGGATACAGAAGACTCTGGGAGAACACATTACTTTGAGAAACTCAGACGGAGACACTGCTACCGACGATACCGGTAGGCAACAGACCGCTTCGAACGATGCAGCGACCGATATTCTTTCTTTAACGATACTCCGTTATTATTCACAGACGACTCGAGGAGATCTTTTAAGGAGAAGGTGGCTAGACTCCGAGAGGAGCGGCTAGCAGCGAATGCCGGCATGATGACTCAAGATTCACAGATGTTTCAACATCAGTTGACGCAACTGCGGAGGCAGATGTTGATGCAAACAATCGAGGGACTGAAACGCAGCCTGGAGGATCAGTCTGCGACTCTGAAGCAGACATGCTTCGAACCGGTAATGAACGATCGATTGCCTTGAATCACCGAATGAGAATATGAAAAGAATCTACAGCCTCCTCGCAGTTTGCTCGTTATTAACGGTTAAAGAAAGACGTCGAGCACGTATAAATGTAGCGTGACACAGTCGCGAGAATTTTTTCTCTATTAATTTCGTACCATATTACGTGCATATGTAACATCCTCAAAAACGTCGAGACGATATAAACACTGATTAATCGGCGTGGTTCAGCCAAGTTCGCGTATATTGTTAAAAATGAACATCGATCTACTGTTCTGCTTGTTCGTTTCGAAGATACGCGAATCTAAATTACGGATATTGTTCTCTGCTCAACGAGTTAAATACGTTATTACGATTAAGACGATTCTGGTGAATCCTCGCCACTTTTTTTTACATTTGCGTATTTTCTTCTCTGTTCAACGATCAAATGTTTCACGTATCTGTCACGGGCCTATTCGCGGACTAAGTCTCCCACCCGGGGAAAATAGAAAACGTGCCAAACTCGTTTCGATGACCAACGCCGATGGTCCCAAATTTTTTGTACATACACGCGGATAAACTCGGAATGTTCCTATTTCGTACTTGATATTTCCGAAGGGGGAGAGAGAGAGAGAGAGTCGAGGGCGAGGAAAAATTAGCAGCAACGTTCTCGTCGATTCTATCGGTGGAAACAGGCATTTCCCATTAGTATACCAAAGATAATAGCCTAGCACAGTAGTGTAGGACCGTTTAGTTGATCCGATGTATGCTACATAGACGTTCGTAATGTTAGGAGAGCTACTGTTAGAACGTTTTTCCTCTAAGTTATACATGTAGAGAAAACGACGTGACGCGTGGAGAAATCGTCGATGAACCTTCTTCCATGCTCGTCGCGGTCGAATCTCCCGGCTCGAAGAGCTCTTCGTCGTCGAGAATCCGATCGCGGCGGCTCATAGCAGTACTAGACGCAATACTCTTCAGTCAAGGTGATATTTTTGCGAGAATAGACTGATAGCGTTATCGATAATATATTGTTAGCCTTAAGCGTCTCATGAGGATTATTTCCATGTGATTCATATGTTCGAAGTGGTTCTCTCAAAGGCAGAGGCGACGATTCGTAGTACGCACACGATATTTATGTTTGTGTTAGATGTGCTAGAGATCATAGTAAAGGAAACTGTTAGAGACAAATAGAAGTAGCAAATTACTATTTAGTATAATTAGCTAGCTAGCCGGTTTATCGAGTCGACTAAACTATATAGTAATATCGTTTATTTCGATGACTATACCCCCTTGTGATTATGTTTCGCCCGTTTCATTCGAAACTGTGATTGCAACTTTCTTAGCCAGTTTTTAGAGTTATCGCCGTAACGCGCGTGGAAAACACTCGCGTGTCTCTCGTGGTTCCACAGCGGACCACGGCCGGCTCAGGTCAATTCGTTCAAAACTTTTATACTCGATACGTGTATATATACATATACATACATACATATATATTTATATATATATTATATGTATACATTTAGTTTTTCATCCGAGAGAGATTTTTCATTTTCCTTTATTGCATAAGCGAGCGATTATTATTAATTATTATGGCAAACTGTCATTGGTCTCGTATTTAAAAATGTTATCATTCTACTTTTAATTAATTAATTAATTAATAGTATCGAGACATTCCAAAGATACGCGGTAAACGACGACGAATTTCGATCGCACGATCGGCGTATCTTGACCAAAGTCTTCGACGACTCGTCGAACGATACGTAAGCGAATTTTTAAACCCTTTCCCCCTGCTGACGCGCAACGCTAGTCACCTAGTTATTTGTGCAGGGTTCAATTGGCAATTGATTAGAAAACTTGGAAAGAAGAGCGCCAAATTATTGTTGCAAATTTTCTCTGTACTAATTGTAAGCCATTTACGAGATTAAATGGTCTTTTTTTATATGATTATGAATAAATTATATTACGTCGTTGGAAATGTGCGTTCATTCTATGTTTCTTAATCTTCCTCATTATATCTACAAGCGATCATTTCTGTTTGTTTAGTTTAATTGCAATAACGATTAATAATTATAATCTAGCTAATGTTTTCAAGATGGAATTAAGAATCGAATATAAATTATAAAGAGACGAAAATAATGCAACTTTATTTAATTTCCCTGTTTACAGCATTCTGTAAACTATATCGAAGATTAAATGTTTTTAATCGATAAATTCAAATTTCTCTACACACAGTCTATATCAACGAAATAAAAGACAGAATAACAACCCAGAAATGATGAGTACGAAGAAACTGACGAGAGAACAAACGTAGAGACTTTGTAGCTATAATGTCCGAAACATTCAGTCCAAACTCGGTTTGTTTTTTTGGCAGCAGTCGATTTTGACATCTTGAGCACTCACGTGGAACCAGTCACTTAACCCTCTCGAATCTGTGTTTGACATCGGTAATTTCTACAGGTTCTTTGATCTTTTCACAGTAATCGGCCCACGTCCCTTCGCTTAAATCTACGTCCGTGAACTTTGTCCCATTGTCTGCAGTTTTTACGATCCATCCTTCTTTCGCCCAAAAGTCGTTGGGCTCGAGGCCTCGACAATCAAATACTGCTATCGTCTGAAACTTGCCTTCATCGTCCGCTACGTACGGCTTTATCGAATCTTCCAGGATGGTCATGGAATTCTCACGAGCACAAAGTTTGCACTTGTTAACGAAATGATTTACCGCGTTCCCCCTTTGAGCTGGCGTCGACTCATTCAGAGACACATAATTCCACTTTTTCGTCCCTTCGCCGCAGTTGTTGCAAGTGAACGTCAGATACCATCTAAATTCTGGCCCGGACGGTTTAAATTCTTCTACATGTTCCAACGCGGCTGTTATTTGCAATGCTATTTTCACCATATCGGCGAATTTTTCCTCGTCTACCTAATCTCGAATTTCTAGATTGTTTGTCAAGCCAACCGAGGTTATGGCACGCACGATCTTATAGACAACCTTTCTCGATAAAATGAATCATCCAACTAAAAACCACGACTTGAACTTAATCAGTGACAGTGTTCACTGCTCGCGACTGGGATTTCGATTTTCGTTGCAGGAAAATCGATTAAAATGATTTGAAACAGATCTGCAGCTGCACAGACCGAACCGACACCCTTCTACCACTTGCGCCGCTTGCGCCGAGGCCGAGATACATGAAACAAAATGTCTCCATGCATCATGGCTGCAATTGCGGGTTACCTATATAATTGCCGCCCCGTTGGTTGTGTGGGGGTGGAGGTCGTTCAACGGCCTTGACAGAGCGTGGAGGGATTCACTCATTCACGGCAGTGAATTCCTAGTGACGTACTTATTTTCTTGAATATAAGGATACCATTGGGCCCCGAAACAGTGTTCTAAGATTTGCGGAAATTTGATCGCAGGGTCGTCCGTCGAGGAAAATCTTTTATCAGCGTGGGTTCCCAAAAGAAGTACTTAGGTTTTACACGCACGTGCATGCATGTAATCAGTAGCAGATGAGCTAGAATATTTTTATCCAAGAGATGACGGTAGACTTAGGTTTTGTAGAAAAATGCGAGTCGTGGTTATTGGAAAGTAGATTTTTCCCGAGTAAGGTCGGTGGTAAACCGGCGTGGCTTGATTTAAAAAATATTCCTGGAGAGAAAGATGTTCAGTGTGAATATTGTAAAGAACCCTGTATATTTTTATGTCAAATCTATGCTCCGTATGAAGAGAACGATGATGCTTTCCATAGAACGATCTTCATTTTTATATGCAAGAAGAAGGAATGTTCGAAGTTAAATGAAACTGGAAACTTGAAAGTGTTCCGTTCCCAATTACCTAGAATAAATCAATTTTTCCCACCTGAACCACCTGTAGAACAAAGGGACTGGAGAACCGATATCAGTATGTATCTTAAAGAAGCTTTTACAAACTTTTATATCAACATAGGCTATAAAAATTGATCCATTCTAGACGTAGATCAATGGACAAAAACATGTTACGTTTGTGGGATCTTAGCACCTAATCATTGTTCTAAATGTAAAAAGACTAATTATTGTTGTCGTGCTCATCAAGTCTACGACTGGAAGCATGGGCACAAAGGAACCTGTGGATCTAGTAATGAACCAACAAAAACTAATGATTTTTTATTACCAGAATATGAAATAGTAATAGAGAAAGATGACACAAACGATGAAAGTAACAATGATTTATCTAAGGAAGAAGAAGAAATTAAGAAATACGAAGCAATGATCGAGAAAGGTGAAGCAGGAACTCTTCAAAATGAAGATGTGGAAAGTACATTGTTAAATGTAGCTGATCAGCAAGAGGATCAAACATTTTGTGAATTTCGTTTAGTCGTTGATAAATATCCAGACCAAATATTAAGGTTCACATTTACTGCACTAATTTCATTTTTTCTTTATTCTTTTGTAAACATAATAAAACATAAATGTCTCAGGTACGACAGAGGAGGAAGTGTTTTATATATTTCATCAGAAAACAAAGTTGGTGATGTACCAAAATGCTCGGGATGTAATGAAGAAAGGCAGTTTGAATTTCAGGTAAAACATCGCATATATTTGTAGAATGAATTCCAACAAACAATTAATGTAATGGTAACTTATTGTAGATAATGCCTCAGCTGTTAAATTTTCTGAATCTCGAAGTGGCGACCGAATGCGTTGATTGGGGCATTCTGGCGGTGTTCACTTGTAAAAGATCTTGTATACCCAAAAATGGATGTAGCGCAGAATTTGTATGGAAACAAGATATCGTGGAAACAATATCTTCGTGATGATACATGGAAAATTTGCTACACTATCTAACTTACATGGCAATGTAAGAAGGTATACAGATATTTTGTAAATCAATTATTTAAAACAAAATCAGTATCGTAAGAAATAAAAATTCTAAGAAAATTTTATAAATAATAACGAAAAAAGCATACGATATTAAATCCATGTCAAAAATTAAATGCTTATGTAGATACTCCTATCTTAACAAAATGAAAAGTACTCTTACAGATTATAAACGAGTCATTACTTAGACCCTTCGCTGAATAATTAATAGCATAAAGTTTCCACAAAAAAATGATTAAAAATCGTAGTGTCACATATAAAAAGTCATGAAAAAAATAATAGATTCTCTCTCTCTTTCTCCCTCTCCCTGAGAAATATAATATTAACATCACAGAGATTATCAATTCATCTCGTTCTGTTACACTCAATAATAGTTCATCAGTTTTCTATTTCCTTATTAAAAATATGTCGCAATTACTTCGATTAAAGTTGCAGTACGCAGCAGAGTAAAAAATTATTTTGACAACGATTCTAACATAACTGCACTCTTACGGCAATATTGTCTGAAGTAATTTAAAGTAATAGCCGATACACCTTTCGTCATATTCTCGCTCAACTCGAACGGATCTTGTACGCACAATGGAGAATCTATACGAAAATATTTCGGAGTCTTCGACATTCGTAATTGCCAAATATATGATCCCATTTCGTCAGGTAAATCTACTTCTGAAAAGGCTGTTTTGAGTACAGGATGACCCATAAGCGGGCAAACAACGTTACGCCGATAATCAAACTCTGCGTAAAATTGAAAGAAACCCATTAGCAACGTAGAAGTAGATCGCTTAGAATTATCATTATTATTATCTTTTGGTTGTGCAACGTCAACATCCCATCCTAGAAGACGATAAAAATTGTAAATGGTTAAAGAAGTCGACGCATCCATTTTTTACCAATAATTAGAGACTTTACCTGATATAACTGTAGGTTTTTTATTACTACCTTTGGCCTGCTGCTTTCCTTCTTTCAGTAAAGAAGCAACACTTGGCAAGTACGATTCTGTTTGTAGATAGAACATAACGAGCCAAGTTAGACCGTAACTTATTATGCCATACCTTGGAGGTAAATCAAAATAATAAAACCATTTTTTAACAAATAATATTAATTTTCTACAGGGTAGATAGGAATCATTTAGAGCCCTACGAACAGTAATATATTACTTGATTAATTATTTTGACAGTAGAGTAATAGTTAGAAGTAGACCAGAGCACGTTACCTTAGAAGTTTAGTTTTCTCAACACTAAGGCCGTTCACACTAGAAATATCACAGTTTAAACCTGTTTGTTTGTGTACTAACTTTATCAGTGGAATTCTCGTTCTCGTCAGTATTTCCTTTATCCACCATTCTTCTCTGTCTTCCGATAAAACTTGCTTAATCTGTGTCAAATGATCTTTTCTCAAACAGTCAACTATATCTTGATTATACATGTTTCCTGAGAATAGATATAACAGTGGAATGATCAAGACTTCTCAGTTTCGAAAGGCTATCAAATACCTACCACAATCGACATATATATCTACATCGCTATTTGCAGTTGCGAGTCCAGCAACTCTCGAGCCAAACACATATGCTTTGACATTTGGAAAAATAGCTCTTAAGCTATTTTCCAAAGATTCGAGTATTTCATCCTGTACATTGTCGTTTAATGAAACTTGCGTGTATTGAAGTAAGGTATCAGAAATATCGTCAACGTGTTGTAAAATGTTTTCTATACTTTCGGGAAGATCCCCAACCATAAAATCTTGTTTCTTAACTAAATATTTATGTATTTTACCCTTGCAATGTTCTGCATACGAGTTCTTAATAGACAGCCACAACGTTGTACATGGTATGCAGAAATCGAACACCATATCTTTTAAAGATACGTTTTTGTGCATTTCAATAATGTGTTGTAAAAAATCCAGTTTATATTTAAAACTTGTTTTACATAAAGCGCAACCGAATTGTTGAATGCTGTACCACATATCGCATAGAGCTTGTGATACATAAGTAAACAATTCGTTAGTAGCTTTGACAAACTTTTTATGGTTCATCTGGTGATTATTGGTCTTGATATGTTTATCAGTATCGACGACTTGGTGCATGTTGCAAGTGAAACACCTTACTACATTTTCATTTTCTTTCATATATTGCTGCGACAGCTTCTCGGATTCACTATCCTCCATTATTTTATTTACCTGCATTTCATGCTTTTCAAGACACACGTGCTCATACAACGTAGCGATTTCCTTTGACACTGGGTCATTACAGAGCAAGCAGTAGAAATTTTTTGAGAGGACACTATAGGGCACAATGAATCTTAGACTTTTTTGTATACTATTCAATTGCCCTTGAATATTATACATGGCTTCTTCGATTTCTAAATATTTTAATGGGTATGGCCTGTTCAAGTCTTCTGTCAAAGTTGTTGTCCTTACATTCTCTTCCTCTGGTGTTTGCCGTTTCGGTGGAATATTCAAAAACTTTGTTATATGTTGTTTTATATCTTTTGTTATAAGAGACTCAATCGATTTATTTTCATTATTGACAGATATTTTATCAATTTCTTCTGTTATTTCAGTAATATTAGCACCGGATGAATTCTTTTCAGATTTATTTTCACATGCTCGTACATTTTTTTGAGCAGCAGTGGCACTCTCATTTGCATTTAACATTTGTTGGTTTATGTCTTTTGTTATAAGAGATCCAATCGAATTATTCTCATCATTCATAGATATCTTATTAATTTCTTCTGTTATTTTACTAATATCAGCACCGTATGAGTTCTTTTTAGATTTCTTTTTACATGCTTGTGTATTTTTCCAGGCAGCGGTGGCGCTCTCATTTGTATTTAACATTTGTTGGTTTATGTCTTTTGTTATAAGAGAGCCAATCGAATTATTCTCATCATTGATAGATATCTTATCAATTCCTTTTGTTACTTTAGTAACAGCAGCACCGGATGAATTCTTTCTAAATTTCTTTTTACATGCTCGTGTATTATTCTGGGCAGTGGTCGCGTTCTCATTTGTATTTAACATTTGGTTAATGTCTTTTGTTATAAGAGAGCCAACCGAATTATTCTCATCATTGATAGGTGTCTTATCAATTCCTTTTGTTACTTTAGTAACAGCAGCACCGGATGAATTCTTTCTAAATTTCTTTTTACATGCTTGTGTATTATTCTGGGCAGTGGTCGCGTTCTCATTTGTATTTAACATTTGGTTAATGTCTTTTGTTATAAGAGAGCCAACCGAATTATTCTCATCATTGATAGGTGTCTTATCAATTCCTTTTGTTAGTTTAGTAACAGCAGCACCGGATGAATTCATTTTGGATTTCTTCTTACAGCCTTGTGTATTATTCCGGGCAGCCGTATTGCTCTTATTTGCATTTAACGGTTTATTATTCTTTTTTCCGCTAGTATCAACTTCGATAGACACTGTTTCGCCTGAATTAATCATTGTGGGAACTACATCTTGATTTACATCACAACTATTGCCGTTTAAGTTACTGGTCTGATTCATATTTACCTTCATTGTAACATTAGGGCAATCGATAACAAGTTCTTTATTTAAACTTTCTTTAAATTTATTATTTTTCAATTGTTTATGAGACATAGACTTTATATGATCTAAAATATTGGACACTCCCTTTAATCTACGGCATTTGCATAATTTGCATTTAAAATTGCCGCGGTTGGTAATACGAATTTCATTCGCGGCCAATGTTCGTACAAACTCCTCTGAACAATCGTAATAACATTTCTCGGAGCCGCAGAATGTACATTTAAATTTAGATTTACCTCGTTTTCCACTATTTGAAACTGTAGCTATGATCTGTTCTTCAGAGAGTGTTTCAGCTATGCCTATTTCCTTCGTTTCATTAATTCCTTCTTCGTTTGTATCAGGAACTATATTTTCATTCAGCTTCGTACATCGTTCTGGTTCAAACTTAAAGAGTGGCAATGTATCATCGTTAGACGGTGTAACTGTTAACGCCTCTTGACTCTCATGCTCCTTTATATGTTTTAAAGCAAGCTCGAAATCAATCAAGCAGCTACAAAATGGGCATTTTATATCATAAGAATCAAATATAATTATACCATTAGATACAAAAATCTTGAATATCTCGTCTGAATGACTGTGCAGTCTCTTAAAAAGTTCAACATATATACATTTATAAAGTCCTTGGGCGGCTTTTTTATAATTCGGATTTGCATCTAATACTGGTTGTATGTCAATCTCCTCTGTTCTCCTCTTCAGTTCTGTCTTCATGTCACTCATCACCGCGACGTAGTCATCGTTCTTTCGACTCTTTACATTCTCGTTATGAGAGGGACTTTGAATATGCATCAAAATGCTCATTACGTCTAAAATGTTCTCTTGGCAAATAATGCAGAAATAACTGTAGCTCGTAACTATCGTGCCATTGCGCTTTGACAGTTTCAGCATCAACGTCTTCTTTCTGTTAGTCATGGTCTCTAACGAGACATGAAATTTCTCATGGAACTCTCTTCTCCAATGAATATTACCGTTAATGTGATTCCAGGCATCTTTTGAATTGGACATCTTAGTCCTGCATATATAACAAAAATATTGGTCGTTGCAACACGCCACATTGTGCCTCACTAATTCCATATACATTTTCGAGGTGATAAATGTTTACACCCAAGCCTTACAGTGCTTATCTTCCTTTCTGGTCAATTCTGAAACAAAGATGCCTTACTGAATCACCATTTAGCTACAGATCACACATATGTATATAAAATGTAAACAACATGTAAATTTGTTTTTAGAAACACACTAGGACATTAAAAAAAAGGAAAAACAAAATTCTTCTATTGTTTACACTTGTTCTCTGTGTTAATCCCTGTACAATTTTATCGATGATCCATGATATCTGATTAATACCATAATTTTTTATACAATAAAATTAAACTACATCATCTCGCGAAAATCTCTGCAGAAGTGCCAACCATTTTCGACTGATGGAATTCATTTAAATTAATTAAAATCATAATTTATGCATCTTAAACTACTATAAAGGATACGTAAATACATTGTATACGTGTGCTGATACACATTGCTCTATAATTTTATGGTTTAGAATTCTTCGAGCCATTCATTTAATAAAACGTGTATATGTATATATACGATTACGTACCTTATTATTATTCGCCTTCGGAAGCTCAGAAATTGAAAAATCGTCGAAGAGATACTTTGAAAATTGACTGAGAATACTGACTGAACGTTCGTAACTAAACGTGACGATAGCGTTATGGGCAGATAACTGACAATACAATGCTGGGTAATTCTTCGAAGAATTATAAGATTATTCTTTAACAGTCGGGGATGCACCGAACTATTCATTCTATAGTATTTTTTCTTGTAACGATTATCGTGATGACGCAATGCATAAATTTACAAGACGTGCAAAGACACTTCTGTTTTCTATTCACTTATTTATGAACATAAAAGGCACATATTTAAACCGAACCAAAGGGCATTACGGTTAAGAATAATACGATACAGTAGAGGAATTAAATTTTACACCTGCAAATTTATATTTTTTTCTCATGGGATTTATATAGTTGATCTGGCACTTAGCACACCAATCATGTGAATGATCCTTTTCAAATTCTCTTACAATTTAAAGATAACATCAAATCCGCTTTTAGGTACAAACACTAGTGCCTGGAAGAACAGATATAAGAATTTAAAATAAGCTTGTTCATTATATTTTATGCGTAACAGATGTACTCGTATATATGTAAAATGTAAAAATGGAATTTATAGGTTGAACGTACACATTGATTAACGTAGTTCAATTGCACCTCTCTTATAGAGAAGTGTCAGGAATCGCGATTGGTAGGCTAGCGTTATTTTATTACGTGTCATGTACGCAAATCTGCTTTTCGTAGTGGCTTGAGAATCCCAAAACAAGCTTCTATAGTTGTTTAATATCCAGTTATTTTAATTATTAAGGTATTCAAATTTGTACATTTTTATTTATCTTCAATAGTAACGAAAAGTACAGTAGGAAACGCATGTATGTTGATAGTGCTTAAAAGTGTCATAAACATATGCATATGCAAACGTGTTCCTTTTTAATTATTATTTAATAACATGAGAGAAACATTTAAAGGTGTAGTAATGTTAAAAAGAAAGAACGTCATACGTGCTTATTAGCAATTGTTCTGAAGTTTTGGAATAATGATTATGTATATTACATATTTTTATTTTATGTATTTTTACGATGTTTATGGTACGGATTATAGTCTACTACTGTTTCCACATTTTAATCTAATGATATTAAACGTTTTTAACATTTATTTTTAGGAAGAAAATGCGCCAGTTGAAGGGGAAGACGAAAGAAACGAATAAACAGAAGAAAGAAAGGAAAAAGGAGTTCCTGGAGAACAAACAGCGTGTCTTCACGATCGTGTTACCAACGATTGCTGCGATATTTGTTTTAATAGCAGCGTACGTTTACGTTAAAACCCGTCCAAAAGTTGTCGAGTATTAATCGGTGTGTGTTCATCATCGATTATTAAAAAACGTAATGCGCAATGTATTTGAAGAATGCTTGGACAGTTCCTTGATACATTTGTACAATGAAATAAGAATTATTTGAATAAGGGGCAGATCTAAATGCCTGCTTATATGATATTTCATTCCTATCATTCTACTATTATAGATTTTATGCATTGCATAATTGTATAACTTTTACAAAATATTTTTCATGCTAAAAGTTGTGTAATATTGGGATATATATATATGTATATGTACATGTAATAATTAAGAGAGTATAAATAAGAGATTTTTATTACAAAGGAGAGAAGGAAAGAAATATTTAACTGTTACTGGGTAATACGTCTGAGTAAAAATATATAGTTTTTATTCTTTATATATTGAATTACAGTTTACTGCGTTTTTACAAATACAATTTTATAAAAAGATGATCGTTCTCGTTAGAGAATTTTTCCAACAGAGTATGATTCCAAATATGTTGCATTTTCAGTGTGAAACGTACTTTCTCTTATGCTAACTCTAGGAAATGTACCTAGAAAGTTTATCATTTTTCAAAATATTGATATAGTATACATTGTTTTATAAAATGTTTACAAAATAAATATGAATACATGAAATAATTTTAATACTATATGTGTATATTTTTTATTACGTATCTTCCTTTATTACGGCATAAAAAATTATTAAGAATTCATTCTACGATGCTGTATATTTTTCATAAAATTAATCATTTTATTACAACGTGAGATTAAAACGTTGAGAACCACTGTGGGGTGTCCACAAACTCCAATAGAAAGCTAACACGCACGTAGATGTTTACAGTTCACACGTGTATTAGACATTCGGTTTCGGTTCCTTCGTAAATTAAGTATATTATTATTGTTTTAAAAATGAAAGATAATCTCGTTTATTTCTCGTTCATATCGTTCGTGATAATCACGTTTTGCACAAATGCTGCGAAAGGTATAAGAATCCTATCTATTACACAAAACGTCAAATATATTTTGAAACAGAGCCCATTCATTTTAAAACTGCTCTTAGTTGTATCGTATTTCGTACCTGAAAAATCCTCATTTCTGTGAATAATAAAATAGTTCTTATTAATGATGATTTAGCTAACCTACTTCGTTAAAAGATTTGTTGAATACCTACTACAAGTTCTAATTTAATTCAATCTATATTGTGAAATATAATTGTATTTAAATTTAAAAAGTAATTACTGTTGAAATGTTTATGAATATATATTTACAGCCAAAGAGATACAATACGTGACATGTGGTTCTACATTGAAATTAATGAACGTAGAATACAAAGTGAGATTACATTCTCATGACATAAAGTACGGTAGTGGCAGTGGCCAGCAAGCAGTAACAGGTACTTCGTCAAAGGAAGATGGAAATTCTTATTGGCTTATAAAAGCAGGAACCAAAAAACAATGCACAAGAGGGTATGCAGCTTGTGATCGAGGAGAATACTGTTTTTATAATGACTGTTCATGACAATAATTATGTTTCTAATCACTCTCAATAGTGAACTGGTTAAGTGTGGGGATATTATAAGATTAGAGCATATAGCAACAAAGAAAAATCTTCACTCTCATCTCGTCAGTTCACCGCTCAGTGGAAAGCAAGAGATATCTGCGTATGGTGATAGTCAAGGTGAAGGTGATACTGGAGACAATTGGCTCTTAGAGTGTAATACTGAATTTTGGAACAGAAACGAACCAGTCATATTGAAGCACGTAGATACACACACGTGAGTTCCATATCATTTCTATCTAGTATGTAAAATGAAGACACTGTATATTAGTTGATTTTGTTCGATAGATATTTAGGAGTAAGTGGGCGAGTCTATGGGAATCCAATTCCTGGTCAGGCCGAGGTAATAGGTGAATATTCTTCTGACTCTTTACCTCATGTTCAGTGGGTGACGGCTGAGGGGGTATTCATTCATCCCAACGATTTTAAAGCTCTACATCATGCTCACACAGAATTATAGAACTTTTATGAATATAGGTATAACATTTCTATGATAATTCAAAGTAATTGGAAATGTAATGAAAGCTAATTCCAATTGTTTTCATTACAATCTTTATTATTACACATGTAATATAGAAATATGAGAACGGTCTTTTCGTGAACACGAAGACTGTAGTATGATTTGTGAAAATGTGTTTTAAATACATAATATTTATTATAATACAATATAATTTATAATAAACAAAGAACGCGTACTTCATGTGTCCGATCAAGTATAAAACGTATAATTGTACATATCTCAATTACTTCGTCATTAAGTTTCTCAAGCCCTTCTATACTTGCTTCAACTCATATTTCCCATTAAGGTCTCTAGTTCCTATAAGACCATTGTACGGAAAGATAATGTTTGAAAGACCGTAACTTCCAAAGATCTCTCTCAAACTCTGCCTTCCCGATATATTTGCATAACGTTGTTTCCCCGTCATGCAGCTGTGCAATTTCCAAGTTGCGTACACCAAGGATATAAATAAAATCGAAACTAAGACATCGAACATCGTTACTAGTATTATATAAGTGTTCTCTTTAGAATCTCTTAGTAATCGAATAAGCGCGATGGGGAAGCAAAAGTTTAAAAATATATTGTAGGAGTCCGTGTCTGTTCTTATTACACGATTAATATTTTCGTATAAATACGGTCCAAGAATGCATAATGAATGTATGCATGTAAATGCCGTATAGAGACAGAACAAAATGAAGTTACCTACATTTTGCCTTAATATACAAGCACCTAGGACGAAGCAATGCTGATCGCGAAAGTGATAACACTTTTTGCAAAAGATGCAATGCTGCGTTGGTTTGCACGTATAATTAGCGCATTTTTCACAGTACCAATATTTGTATTCAACATTGTTTACTCTTTTATCTGTTAATAATTTCTTCCCTATTGCTCTAACATCCATAGTCGTTGCATTACGGCTTATCGTGTATATCGAATACCAATTTAAGTATACTTGTATAGAGAAGAATACAAGAAGCGGAGTAACTTTTTCGTTGATGTATATCGTCGCAATTATAACAATTATACTGAATAATAACGCAATCAATGGACAAAGATTGACAATAATTTGAGGGAGAGCTTTCATATTTTCTAGCTTCGATATCTTATACAATTTATTCCTGCAAAAGGAGAAACGTCATGTATCAGCTTTTTCCTGCTCGTTCCTTAATTCTTCCGAAAATTAACAAAAATGTTTAAGGGGTTATTATTAGAATTTTAAATCCCATTTTTTAACAACGTATTGCTCATTTGTTTATCTGTCAGTAAATGGCTAAAGGTTAACAAACGTTACGTTATATCCACTGACCTTGACCGCAACTTCTTCGAGTTAATCACAAGCGTTCCGCCAAAAGTAATCGTTCCTCTTTTATGAAACAGCTCTCGGTACTTGGTACGTAATGTTTACTGTCATCAATCTTCACTTCGTTTAGTTCTCTCGATATATTTACACGCTTCCGATAACCATTCCTCGATTTGTCAAACATTTTTAAGCAGTGTATAACAACAAACATGATACCTGCGAGAGCTGCAAGGTCTCTGACGTAAAAATAATTCGAACACTAATAATTTTCAACGAATCTCTTATACGCGATTTAAATACGAAATATTTTACCTATATGCGCAATATTAGGTCTCGAGTCAGGTTAAACTTCTCGGTGTTAGACTGTATAATTTTTAATTGCAAATTACTGTCAACGTACTACGTTAGAAAGCTATTAAAATAAATCGTGACTTTGCTAAAACATTGTTACACATTATTACATTCTAGGATGTTAAAGAATGTGAAGGAAATAAGGTAACATGTTTGTAAAACCAACTATTTTTATTGATACATTTTGCATACAGTAGGTGTAATGTAAAAACAGCGGGTTTAATAATGTGAGATAATAAAATTTTTACTATTTCACTTCAATTATTTTATCTTATGAAAATATTCTCATGTATAACGACACGTACTATAAAAATGAGATTAGTTTGTAACGAACAGAATGGGCAACATTGGTAATAAATGTTTAATGAGTTCGTTGAAACATATCTCGCATACTGATAAACTTTCTCTTCATTTCTATACATATTTATACATCTTAATTCTGTTGTATTACTTTTCATTATGCTCAAAATTTGTACATGTTTTCTCAAGGAAATATCGAATTTAGAACGTTTATTTCATTGCTTACGTTTGTTAAACACGTTAAACCTATTTTGTATACTTTACAAAATTAACTATCTTTTATTTTCGTTTCATTTCATTAAAAAGGAAAATAAACTTGACTGAAATATCTAAAAAAAAAAACTATCACCAAATGATCTCACAATCATTACGTTAAAAGGAATTTCAGAAACATCGTCAATTATTTATACTTAATTTACATCCCCGGTTTCGTAACTTTTCATTATATACACACGTTCAATCTTTCCTGTATACATGCAAAACCACAAGTATATTTCTCTAAATTGTGCAATCTTAATTCGTGTGTACTTGTTTTGTACCTTTTCAGAAATCAATATTCACTACTTACAATACTTACGGCAGACACTATTACACCTCTTACGATATAATTTAAAGGTTCCTCTCTTAAAGATTACTGTATTTATAAAACTATATAAACATATTAAATTGTGACCTTCTATAAGTTATGAAAATACGCTACTCCACATAAATTATGCTTATATTGTAAAAAATAAACTTTCAGAATCTTGAACTCAGCGTAATGATAGGCCGTTCAAATAATGTTCTCCATTATAATCATACAGCTTCACGAGAGTTCACCGATCGGTGCATTTTGTAACCAGAGGTCGTGTATAAAATTATACAAGTCGTCGCTGACGGAGACCTGTGCAAAAACCATTCGAATTTCTAAATTACCACAGAAAGGCACTTCACAAATTAGAAATACAATCACTGAAACTCACTTTATACGGTGTAGGATTCAAATTTCTCCTATGGTCGTTCCTAAGTGTCTTCAATGACTCCTGCACTCTGTTTCGTATTTCTTGTAGCGTGGGTAAAGGCTGGCACACTTTACCATTTTGCCAGTACAGCTGCAAAGAAATACAATTAATTTCGTCTTCGAATCGTACATGCGAATATTCCTAGTTAATTTACCTTATGCAATGGTTCCACCCGCGACGGTGTAACATAAGCCCTTTTCGATTCTTCGAAAGGATGCCTGCAGAGAACTTTCTCCTTCATTCGTGGAACTTCTTCCGACGATCTCTGCAAGAGATCAACCAACGCGTATCCATCGGCCCCGTATAATCTGAATGCATTTTTCTTGCCCGGTATCGTCACTTTACCAACTTCCTGGCTGAGCTTGATTCTAGGCTGGCCATTGATCTCGACCATTTTATAAACGCAGCCTAACGCCGGCTGCCTTTGACAAGTCACCAAATGCGTCCCGATTCCGAAACAATCAATTTTATGGCTCTAGAAAAACAATTCCCGTTATAAATTTCTACAGAATCTCGTCGTTGGGTCAAGTCGTAGATTTAGCTACCTGTTCATTTAAACTGAGAATAGTCTCCTCGTTAATATCGTTCGAAGCGCAAATCGTCAATTTCGCAAACCAGGGTATGTTGTATTTCTCAGCGATCCTTTCGAAAATGTCCCTCGCCGTGTTACTCAAATACGCCAGATCACCGCTATCGATTCTTATACCAATCGCTTTGTAGCCCAGGTCGTTCAGAGCCAATGCTACTGCGCAAAAGTTTAGAAGACCACTCCTGAGTGAAAAATTTCAAAGTGTGTAAATTATGTACAGCCGGATAAAATGTATTATAGACGTACACACATGCATCTACAGAATTCTGATGTACGATAATTATTCTACGTCCATTAAACGAAAATATACACCAGCGATTAACGTTAATATCTGATTCATGCATCACTATTAGTCAAACGAAAATACATGGCTAACTGCTAGCTTCTTATCTAAATTACATGAGATATTTGGGATAGTGATAGACGTGTAAATGACTGTAACTTGAAAGTACATAAATTATGATAAAAAATAAATGAAACATTGTGTTCGTATTGTTAATTACATAGTTAGTGATGTTAGTTGACGTCAGTATAAGAATTGCTACCTGGTTTTATCTACATCTTTTCCTATTCTCTATTAAACTTGTTTGTTCTCAAGGTCTTTGATAAGCTTAAATTCTTAAAGCTATACGCCCGCGTTGTTACTACAATATTATGTACATTACTAGTTATTTTGGTTTTTGTTACATGGCTGAATTGGGAAGGGTGCTATATAAGGTAATAGTATAATCAAGGTTCATCATATTTCTCTGACAATGACTTACAATTCCTCCGCATCCTTTATCATTTGTTTACGTTAAAGAAATTAAACAACGAATACAAGTTTGCCCGCTTTACAGAATAATATTTCTTCGCTAGAAGTTGATTGAACGAAATAGAAAAGTATTTATACGCAGCTGGCTTTTCAATTAACATAAATGACAGGGTTGTCGACCAATCGTTAATACAGATAATTGAATTAAAAAACTAGACGTGAAACAAGGATACTATGATAATAATAATAATAATAATAATAATAATAATAATAATAATAATAATAATAACAACGTGCATTTAGTATTCGTGAGAATAACCGATTGTGATTGACCGAACGTTTGATAAATGAAAGGAAGAGATGATTTATCCCGCAAAGCAGACAAAGAGGATAATGTCGTACCTCACATAGAGCTCACCCAATTCGCCTGGTTTTAAAAAGCCATTCTTGTGATGTGAAGTCGATTCTGATATAATCGGATTGTTTTTGACACCATTTTGGGCATGTGTATTGGACCCATTTGTTAGACGCTTATTCTTTACATTTAGGCTGGCTATACATGTCTGTCTCTTGTCCGAGGTTTCGATACTATAAACACACTCCTGTTAGGCTACAGTATGTATACGCTTTACCGTGCCTGCTTCTTCAACTTGTAATTAGATTTGCTGATGCACATATCAAACTCAATTAGACATATCTTTAAAGGTAAACATAAGAATATCGACAAAATATCTCCACTATTTTTCTAGTCTATTTATAGCATCTTACATTTCAATAAAGTATATTTTCTCTGAGTTTTTCAACTAATCGTTATCAATTGATTGTGAGTCATGAACTTTTAATTTTGCAAGTATTTTCATGCATCTATCATTTTCTATTCATACACACACACACACACACGCACGTTAGAAAAATGAAAATCGAGGAAAGAATTATTAAATAAATTCTACATACTACAAGCAATAATAGATTCTACGAATTAATCTTGGATAAAAAATATTTCAATTAATATAGGAACGTGGTGACACATTTAAGTAAAATTCTGAATGTCTACACACTACCTCTAATATTAAGAAGATACGTATGCAATTAAAATGAGTATTGAATGCAAGAGAGATCGAAGAAACGTGAAGGTAGAATGAAACGGGAGAAATGTCATACCTCTTTACGTCGTACGTGTCTACGAGAGCGACGAATCTTTGTGGGAAAGCAATGGCGTAACTAATTAAAGCAGCTAATTCTCCGCTGGAAGCCTCGGAGACGAGCGTCCCTACGTCAGCTGCGATAGCGTCCCGATGTTTATAAGCCAGATTTAAAATGTCATAAACCTCACCCGTTTCTTTATGCGCCAATGTCTGTGGAAACAGTTTTAAACTTTAATTAACACAGAACATAATTTCTTTTTGAGCTTGAAGCATTCGGTTACCCTTTGTTTTAAATCGTTCATGTCAGTGAAAGACGTGATATACGAATGTGCGTGCGTGCCGCTTACTGGAATATTATAAAGTTTCCCTGCTAAGACGTTACTTGTACCATCGAAACCACCTGGAAAATATTTGATAAAGAGCAATGATTAGAATATGAAATAATTTGTTCCTTAAGATATGAAATAAAGAGAATGTCGAAGTATCACCCTATATAAATATATCTACGAATATGACACCATGTATAAATATATCTGACCTAGCTCATATCAGTATTCATCACCAGGGTGGTACGAAGTGTTACAAATCTGTACTACTTCTTATTGATTTTGAGACAAGTCAGTAAAGGATACAAATGGAAGAAAAAGAACCAGTAGAGGCTTTATACGTAGATATGAGCAATGATCGATATAGCATGATAAATTGATTTGAGAGTAATTGTGAACAGTTAATTGAAACAAAAGTAAAATAAATATTTACCGATATAGCTATACTTAGAGGCACTTAAACCACCGTCAGGACCCTGAGCTCTCCGCAGGCCGAACTCAAGTAGCGTTATATTTTTTCCAGCAACCATACGATATCTGGCTGCATTTGTTGCCATTAAACTTGCATAGTTAACTAACGTCAACAGTGTTGTTTCCAACAGTTGTACCATTATTAATGGACCTTCTACTCTTAGTAATGGTATTCTGCGTAACATATCAATTTGTATTGAGGTTTTAGCTTACTAACATTTCACGTTTCGTCGAATATGTAATGTCGATTGATAAGCGTTTGGGAGATTAATTCTAACTGCTGACTGCTGTCTTAAGAGCAAGGGAAAGTTTCCTAAACGATGGTAACGATGATGTTGATTAACACAACTGGATTATATAGCGTGATGAGTGCAATGATGATTTCCACTGACCTTGGGAAACATACTGAGCCTTCGTCCATAGCACATATGGACACGTCCTTTGGATTCAGGTCTTTTAAATAATCAAAAAACCTTTGATCGACCATCGATGGCATAGTAGATTTCAAGTATTTAATGTCTACAAAAATATACATTGTAGTTTGTAAATCTCAGAGAGGGAGGATCTCTATAATACAAATATGTACATACCACTGGAGGAATAACGAAATTTTTCTAAAAACCTGATACACTCTTCTAGCCCAGCGAAAATTGTGAATTCTCCTTGAAACGGATTCTTACGAAAATATAAATCAAACACAGCATGATCATTCATCTTTCCACTTTTCCAATAAGCGTATGCCATTGTGATTTGATACAAATCTAGAATGAAATCAATTGGATTATTCGGCTTAGAGCATTTATTCCATTATGTGTACGAGCGAATACATTTAAAAATACATCAATGAACGTAAACACGATATAAAGAAACAGGCGAAACATTGTCTACATTTATTTATTCAGGAGAGTACATGATCGAAATCATCGTTGGGAATTCAAAGTGCAGTATATTTAGAAGACAACACGTGTTACATCATTACTTAATATATCTAACGAGAGAACGGCAAGATGAAAGTGGTAGTTCGAGGTTACATTTTTTAAAACATGCTTTTCGCTACTGGTGGCATAATCGTAAACACATTGCAGAATGCGAGTACCTGTCAACAGCGGTTGAACAACGCAATTTTGACGCATATGACACGACGATTTACTTTCATTATCTGACATTTTCCCGTGCGATCTTAGCGTGGAACTTAGGACGGCTAAGATAGAAGAGAAAAAAAAAATTGCGCGGTATCTTTTCACCAGGCCAACGACGAGCGTGCGATATCAGTTGCTGAACGACAATCGGCCAAGCTCCGTTACCGACAAACTAGCATGCTTCGACAGTGAACATCGTATTATACGACTCCGTTCCGTACACTCTTAGAATCGATAGGAACGTTTGAAGGACGTTACGAACGACGCGACTTGTTATTCCGCCATTCCCACCAATAGTACGGACGTATACAGATCTCTTTTTAAAAAATTACTAGGTATTGCGGTGTATCATTTAGATCGAGCACGTGAACGCGCTGGTAGCGAATTATGAATCATTTTTTCATCGCGTCATGATGCAGTTCTTCCCCTCGTTTCATTTTCCTCGATCCCTCCCCTTCTCCGGATGAAGCATGTGAAGCATGGCCATAAGTAGTAATCAGCATGTATAGAAATTGAGAGGGACAGAATTCGCGAAGGTATATATTATTTTTATCAATGACTCAGTATACTTAAGTATAACCTACGCGATAAGATTAAATGAAAATGTCATCGATTATTGTTCAGTTAAATCGAATTTCATCTTTGAATTTATTACATAGTCTACATCAATCACTATACTATATCAAAATCGGTGAAGAGATATCACTGTCGTCTCATGATTCAGCTTAATGCCAAATTAATGTCTAAAATCTTTTTTTAATTCACAACTGTTATGCACGTGACTACGTGCTTCTGCCTCGAATTGGTTAAAAGGTGAATTGCGGGTCAATATATTAATGATTCTTTCTTATTAATGAAACTCTGAATCGTTTATCATTTTATCTTTTTATTACGAATTTATATAATAAATTAAGTTACTCCGGGTCAGATAAGATTATGAATAAAAATACACATCTCTTAAGATATAAGTCGACGTGCATATCTGGTAAACTTCCATCATGTTTCTACCGCCTTTTCGCTATAAAGATAGAACCGGAACGGTTAACGGTGTCGTGCCACGAAAAGTACAATTATAGCACGGAACCTGGGTCATCCTTCGATTAAACACGAGCATATCGTTAGGGGCAACTGCGTACAACATATACGCCCCTAAAACCGTCCGACCTTGCGGTAATGATACAGCATTGCAGCAGTTGTTTCACTACTTCTGAAAACTTCTTTTTCGACATAGAAAATTAACGTCAAACTTTGAAACAATCACCCCGATAGCGTGCGATATTATACGTTACGGTGCAACTTCTTCCTTCCTTGTCCATCGATTTAATTACTCGTTCAACTTACATCGATGTCGATTGCGCAACGAATCGTCGTTTCTGCAATTTCTCTTGTATTACGTTCGCAGTTAGTTCAGAGTTATCTTGATGAACTTCCATACGAAACACTTCCACGATAATGTAATGAACAGAGATAGCTGATTCTTTTTCGTCTCTGGGTAAATACCGTCTTTGAGATTGTCTCTGCTTTTGTATTCAGACGAGAATAGAAAGATATTCGAACACATAAGAGTCAAAGGTTTCAACATTTGCGACACATGCACTAAATGGTTGATAACGTTCAAGAGAGGCAATTGTTCCAGTCTTTTCTGAAACATGCAGAATCCAGTAGGCAATCTAAGTATGGGAACCTTATGACCTTATTACCTAATGACCTACATTTGCTCGTGATAATATTGTGTCCCGATTATTTGTTTCACTAGATTTTTTTTAATCATCATGAATGAACTTGGGAAGACATGAAATTAGGATGTGAAAGAGTATATTGGAATGAAATAATTTACAGATTGACGTTGTATATAATCGTTTTATTACGTGTCACAATTGATATTATCGATAATTCCGATCTGGATTCTATCTATGGAATTAATTCAGTGTTTATCAGCCGGAGACTAGTTCATTGTGTTACTGGCACTTTCCTTTAGTCGCTAATTTAGATACTAATCGCTTTTGCGTTACACGTGGACTTTAGAAAAATACTCAATTTTTCACCCCCGCAGCGAGGGATGAGCAAAACTCTATAGAAATCATTCAAACCACCTGAATCGTGTTTTGTGTTGTTATTACGACCGTAGAGTCGACGCGTATTTGTAAATGATAAAATTTGGCAGTCGAAGAATTATAGGAAGAACTCGAACGAAAACAGATTGAGAAATTTGTTCATCCCTGCTTTAAGAGTCGTCCTATTAAGATCATCGAGAACAGTCGCACGAAAACCTGTGTTGACGATTCGGGCCCTATTAAGGGTGAGTCAGGTGTAAAAATTGAGCCGTGAGCCGTACATTTTTCTTCTATCAAAAATTGATTACTTTTCTGGATATGTAGCTATATCCATTAATTTTTATCTACTTACACTACACGTGATTGGCAAGCGTAATTGCAAAGTATGCAATTTACAACTGTATCTTTAAATAAGCTAGGGCGGCCGCGCACATCGAGGCTTTTAAAACATTTATAAAAACGTCTTCCAAATGAAAATCAACTATTTAACTGAACGTCGACGGTTAATTTTGTTTTCATTAATTGAACAGAAAGTTCGGCCAGCCCTCTACTATGCTAATGCAGCAGCGCGATTACACACGGTTCTCTTCTGTTTAAAATTAATGTAACATATACTACTGGTTAATTTATCATTCCTTTCCCGGGGTATGTGCGAATTTATACGATAGATACGGAAGCACAGACTATGATCCTCTATGGTTACGTGGCTCCTTGTCTAAAAATCCTTATCTAAACTTTCCTAACAGCTACTCAGACTTTAATCAACATTTATTTTTCTTTAATTCGTACATCCTGGTTAAAAGAATAACATCGTGATCGTTTTTTAACGTCAACTACAGCCTCTACGTTTCATAGACTATACTTATCTTCTCCGACATACAGCCATTGATATCGTATACTAATCCCTTACGCTTACGTCGTTTACTCTAATTTGACACCGAATTTCGTATACAGTCTTAACGTTACTTATGATGATGTTTGTAGATGTATTGTGCTAAAAATATTCCTCGAGCTACAACTCTTCCCCGTTACTCGAAAAAATGCATTTCATCATGTTCTTCTCTTCTCTTCTTTTCACCTTTCTTTGGTCATTTTTTTTTAATCATTTTCTCGTAAATATACGTATTTTATCAAACGTTCGCTGTTGCACAGCTGCTTTTTACATATGGACAAAACGCGCTGCCTTTAGAACTTTGCATTGTTTATTCAAATCCGTTTCACGTTTATCGTGACGATAAAAATGACGTTATGGCACGTAACGGCCATAAAACGAACGGCAAATAAATTCAATCATTTGAACGTGTTGTACCAACATAAGCGTGTATATGCGTTACTTAAAAATATTGTACTCGCCTGAGGTTTCGAAAAATATTAGAAATTCCTTATTCGTTATTTAGTCATTAGGGAACTACGAGAGATCAGATTCTGAGCGTACGGAAATAAATGTTAACTACCGTGTTTTGTGCTTACAACATTCAGCGTATGAACCCACGTATTACAATTTTTCCTAATCGCATTGTTGATTCTAAAAAAATCACAGTTATCTAATGCTGAATTTGTTCTTTTGTAAAACGTGAGAAATCTAATTTAACTCTAATTTTAAAGCTTCATACTTTATTGTAATTATCATCGACGGGTTCATTTCCGGTTTAATATTAATCGAATAATACTGCGTCTCGAACGACTAACGTTACACCCTTCTTAAACACTGTCATTGCACAGAAAGATTTTGGATTGTGGTTTGCTTCTCAATAAATGGTATCGACGGCGGTCTAGATATACATATATGAAACCTTCTACCCTTAAACAAGTCGAAGTCGAATATAGATAAACGAGTAAAAAATACAAATTTTTATTTCGACTATACTGTTTAAAAACTATCGTTATTATCACTTGTACTATATACGAGTCAATAATTAATATAACTACTAAATTTATCAACAACGGTTGGAAGTATATCAAGTTCAGCAACGTCCGTAAGATAAAAACTTAAAAAAAATATGTGTATATATAATATATATTTGTTTGGATCTATGTTATGTAAAGGAAACCTAGTTATGCCATATAAGAACAAACAATTAAATGTTTGTCGATAACGATGGCTAACGCTAAATTTGAAACAATTGAAAACGTACAAAACTGGTTGTTACGTTAGCACCATTACTGTTCGAAATTAAAGCTCATCGTTTTCTGTTTTTTGTTTACTCATTTCGTTTTTCTAATGCACATCTAAACGACCATTCTTGTAAATCGTTACGTACTTTTTTCGTTTTAAAACCATTCTTCGTACTGGTTGCCCATGGTTCATCTCATTAAATCCGCGGCTCTTTGCCGGTCCCGGTACACTTCTCGGGGATGCATCCTCTTGCGATGTGAGAAGCAATTCCCAGAACTCGCGAACGCTTTCGGACAATACGGACATTGGTAAGGCCTTGCACCAGTGTGCTGATTTATGTGAAACTTCAGATCCTGATTCCTCTTGAAAGTCTTATCACAAAGCGGGCACGCGTGCGGCCTCAGATCCGAGTGCGTTATACTGTGAGCTCTTAACGTAGAATTTGTCGGGTAAACTCTTCCGCAGACATTGCACGGGAACTGAATACCGCCATGGTATTCCTTGTGACGAAATAAATTTGACTGCGTCTTAAAGCTGAAACGAGATCGATTAACAGCTTCCTCCACAAACGTTTAATTGAATTTAATGTACAAAATACGATGCTCACATTCTACCACATATGTCACAACCATATTTTCCTTTAGGCCGATGAGTTTCCAAATGTACCTTTAGATTACCCTTGGTAGAAATTTTTTTACTACAAATTGGACAGACGAAATTCCCGGATGAGTTACTATCGGCGTTCACGTGAAGCGCACCATTGGTAGAATAAACTTGTTGAGATCTCAAGATAGGCTTTCCGTCGGTTTGTTTGTCTTTAGGCAAATGAGACCACAAATGATTTTGCAGAGCGATCTGTGATACGAACGACCGAGTACAAATCGTACACTCATGAGGTTTCGAAGATACGTTAGAAACAACTTCCTGTGCATCTTCCTGCGTATCGTCGTCCATTTCCTCTTTCTTTTCCCTCTTTATTCCATCGGTTCTTAAAAAGTTAAACGTGATTCATTTCGAAACAGCTTTAAATCTCCCAAGCGTTGGCGTTACCCTTTCACAAGATAGTGAACTTACTTGTTCGTTAATGGCAATGGTTCTAGAGAATCTATTCTTGATATTTTCTCCTCCGTATCAGACGCATCCGACGTTTCTGACGTTGAATGTTCCATGCCATATTGTAAAAATAACATTGGATCTACCTTGACCTCCATCTCTTCCGTATTTGGGGTATGACACTTGTCCTTCTGCGATATGAATTCCGATGGTCCCAGTGGTTCGCCTTCAGCCAAAATTTCTATTGCACCCTAAATAACAGGTCCACGTCTAATAAGTTAAGTTTACGTGTATCAAACTCAGAATACATGTAGTGAATTTACTTTTGTTAATATTGTGTGTAGCAGTCCTCGATCCTCTATTCTCTTTGTTGCCTCTTGCACAGTTTTCACATCCTCCGTCTCTGCATCTTGCGAGTCTGTATTCACGTTGTTACTGTAAAACTGTGACTTCAGCTTCTCCTGTGTCCTGTATGCCATCATGGCAAACCGATGGATGCCTTCAAGTCTTTTGATGCACGTAACGCAAACCATCTTTGACAATTTGTCTTCGGAGGACACCTACAAAGCCCAGATTAAAATTATAAGATTAACAAGAGTAGGGAGTTCATTTAATGTATGAAAATTAATGAAAGAATGAGAAGTAGAGTATAAACGTTTGATGCTTATTGTAAAAATAAAATCTAAAAACGTTTAAAAATTAGTAATCTTATAAGGGGATAAAATGATTAAATATGATCTGACAAAATAGTATCTCCGTTTTTCTTAATAATTTGTATAAAATTTATATCGTATCGTCTCGGTTTTAAAAGTATTATTTAATACTTCTACAATATTAAATATCGTAGATAAATGATATTCTTCTACGGTAACGTGGATAAATATTCATCTGTTATTTATGAATTATCTTGTATGTATCGAATCATATTTATAGATGCGCCAGTTATGTAGCGCATATAGTATACTTATTGTAATCAATAAAATGCTAATTTTTAACAGTTCTGTATTCCCATCAAAATGGATTCTTCCATCTTACAGATTAGAATTATTCTGTTATTTTCGATTAAATCCTCATCTATGGCAATCGGTTCTCTCTCATTTTCACATAGATTACGTATTTAAATATGTATAAAAATGCATTGGAAGTGCAGAAGGGATCGATCATTTTAATAATACACTGTATTGTCATGTAATCTAATTAATAAATGTTGAGGGGAATCAATTAAATAATTAGTAAGCCAGTTAATTAAGTAGTAGTTTAATTTCTATTATCAGCGTGTTCAATTTTACAAAATTCTATCGCAGTTCCGAAATTTTCACGTCGCATGCACGTGTAGTTGAATAGGTGTATGTAGAGAACGGGGTACACTGGTCTCTAGATCGAGCGGGAAACGTCAGTAACGGGGTTCGGGGTACCGTGGAGAGTTTTCGAAAAAAAATTCACATGCACGTTGAACGTACACAAACGGATATACATACGCATACGCGAGCATTTGCCCGTGACCGTGTGCATATAGGCGCGCATACAACCGCGTCCGCGGTAATTCACACTCGTTAGCGGTGGTGAACTTACCAAGATGTACAGATATTTCCGTATTTTGGTTTGCAGGTAGTGCCGTCTACCATCCTCGGCGAAAATATGGACCCCGTTGTTCCTTGGTATGTCGCTCGCACAAATTCGGCAGTAGGGCTCGTCCTCCCGGTCGTGCTCGAAATCACGACCCGCTGTACCCATTTCAAAAAAACGATAGAAAAAAACTAAACGACCGTGCAGGGTATCACCACGCTAAGGAAACGTTTTTCTCCCCACTATTTTTACGTACTTCTATATTTTTTTCGGTTTCTCTCGTTTGTAAAATGATTAAACGTGAGTTTTCTCGCGACCCCCCCCCTGTTTCACAATATTAAATTCATCGCTTGTTGTTAATTTTCCCTCCCGGCTGTCGTTTTGGCACCTTGACGAAAAAACGTCGGAAACGACCGATATAAAACTTTCAGCGATGCATCTTTACGATGTGCCAGCGTGTCTGAGAGGGTTGATTATTCTAACGATTTTTTTTTTTACTTATGATGAGTCTCCCGGATTGGGTGAGATTACTCTCCGGCACACGTTGACGCTTTAAAAACGACGTCGGCGCCGGGCGTCGGCGTCTCTCTCCCGAAACGAGTGCTCAATACAAAATATATAATAGCATTCGTCGATTTGAAAAACATATGTATATAACCAATTGTTTTATTTATGGATTCCGGCCCTATTAAATGCTATTACCGTCAACGGATCACGGCGAGCCGGCTTTGTCATCCGTTTCGTCGTTTACGCGAGAATTATAAATTTCGCACGGGCCTCGTGAATTCGCTACTTATAAAATATTAACCATCGCTGGAAATAAAGAATAAAATGTATCAGCGCGGTGCTCTTAATTGGTCCGCCATCTTCTTTTACCCGTTCGTTTGTATTTTTTCCTTTCGCTGTAAATAATTCATTCGGATCCTCCCATCGTTCGCGTCTTCGCGGAGTCGCAAGCTTCTTTGCTTAGGAATGGATCTCGGTCGATAATTTCATCGGACATTCCACAGTTTCGCTGTATTTGATAACGATTTTTCCAAACTTTCCCGCGGTTTTTCCAGTCGCTGTATTACTACGCCCATGGAGGAAGGGATGAACGTACAGACCTTTTTGCCGTCGCGTAAAATAGTTCCAAGTACTTGCGAACGAACAGCCTCCCCCTCGGATATGCTACGTCCCCATTTAAAAAAATCAATACTTAATAATTAGCAATTAATACATTTACCAACTATATACAACTACCATCCTGCCGCCTACAGATTCCGATGTACGTATACGTTATGTTATTTCCTGCTTTATTCTAGCTGTATTATAAACATGTAATTTTACGGGATTTTTAAATATTAAATCATTTTTCTCTAAATCGAGCTTCGTTTAGAACATGAAAAATTTGTTTTTAATTTCTTGGAATTATATTTGAATGAGAGTACAAAGTAAATTTAAGTTTTCGTGAAAAATACATGTAACTTTTATTAAAGATAAAATACATTCAACTGAAACTATTATGTATTTCGTACATCTCGTCGAAATTATTAAATAAAGTTCTCCTATCCTTCGATGAGGATGAAATATATTTAATGAAGGGCATTTTGCCTGTTTACAATTTTGTCGACTATCCTCGAGTATGAAATAGAACCGATAAAATATACAAATAAATATATATACAAGTACTAAATAAATGAGAATTGCAAATGAAAATCACAGAGTTGATCGCTTTATAAATATTTCTGGTTTATTCTTTGCTTAAACATTTCATCTGATGCATTTATGGGGATGATTGGGAACTTAACATTTTGCCTTGTTCTGAATCGGCAGGAATAACTTAAATTCTGCAGGCAGTTCGTCTTCGGAATACAATCTATCTGAAAAATATACTCTTCTTATTCTACAGTTTGCGTGAATTTGAACCCTTAACGTTTCCACATAATTCGTTCCATATGCGCGTCTAGTGAAGTCGGCTAAATTAAATTGTATCTGATTCCATCCGTCATCCAGTCTCATCGGCATTGTACAGACAAACGGCTTTACTCTAGTTGTAGATTGATAATTACTAGCACGAAATCTACGGCGTACATTCTTGTCGTCGATTACCTAGATCAAAGCATCTACGATTAGTGAGCAGTTTTAGACAGGGTACGTATTAAAAATATGGAATTTCTCGTTACCTGAACTTCGAAGGTAAAATACTTTTTTAAGTTCTTGATTATCATCACTAAGAATGGTAATTTTATACCTAAAGTCTTCCTAGGGTCTGCTGGACAGGTGATATACGTGGTGCTGACATTGCTGCCTAATATTTCCAGTACTAAACTCTGTATGTCATTGTCCGTGATTCGTTTTATGTGCCCGTTCCTTACTTTTTTGTCCCAAATTTGTAGCGGCTTGCTACCGATGCTATACAAGATTGATAAGAATCCACTTTGAAACGTGTTCTTAAACATGTTCACTTGTCGCTTTTTTCTTGAACAGAGTTTCTTAAAAAACGTTCCCTCGGTTACTCGTCTTGCGAATAAAAACTAAAATATACGCCTGAAGAATTCGATAAATTTTGTGTTTTATGTACTTTCGTTTTCGTCCACGACCTTAACCTTTCATTGTATTTACGCGAGGCTCGCTGAGATGTCACATGTTTCAAGTAATTTTAGTTTTGAATTCCATGTAGCACTTGGCATCATTCGGTGAACATAAAACGTTTATTGTTTAAATCGACATCTTATTTGTGAAATTTGTTTGACTAAATATACTTTCCAACGAAGATAACCTATAACATTTGTGTTTGATCAATGTTGCCGTTAGATTTACAGCGACATCAGTGTCAGAGATCAATCGATTGTCTCGACTTCGGTTTTGTCCGCGTCCGACGCACGACCCTACTACTCCCCGTAAGATCGTGCTCAATAGGAAATACCCGATTTATAAAACAAATGATAAATGCCAGAGAAACGTTTTTACAATCGTTTATTGATGTCAAATACAAACCGATGAAGTTTAAATAAGCGGTAGATACCTACGTGTGAAACAATCATTTCCTTCAAAACTGAGTCAACGATTTTCCAGCATAAAAAAACATTATCCGTACATGTAAAATCTTTACTGCCACAGTCTACATTCGAGTTCATTTCCTTTTCATACAATCATACATATCTTGTTCGACGATAATTACTGAAAAATCACATTTTACATATCTGTAGTATTCTCTTACGGAATGAATAAGAGAAACGAACATAATAATACTTGCTTCAAGCGCGACTTTCATTTCTCATACCGCAACGTTAAAAACAATGATCGTATTACGGTTTGCATAGCTACATCGTTTAGAAAATAACGTTCTAATCGTTCGCCGTATTGTATAGCATTACAAGGCTAAATTAACGAATCCTGTTAATTTTCCGACATACATTCTTAAACGACTCATTCGTGTTCTTCTTCGCTTTCATTGAAATTATTTCTTTAACTATCGGTACGTCGATTCAATCGAATTCAACGGTTCACGTTCGGACAGAAACAACAAATGTTTGAACTGTTTAAAGTAGGTACTGTGAATTCAAAGTTTTGTGCATTTATTTATCAATAAAATGGAACAGAAAAAGAGGCGTAAGTGTATCGCTACGATTCAATGATTTACAATTTAATGATAATCAGATAGATATAGACCTTGGTGTCAGTATTAGAACTGTCCGATAGTTACAGACTCAATGGGAAAGCGTTATTCGTAAAATAAATGTTTAGAATATTATGTTTTTTCTTTATTCTAATGCGTTTATCTCGGTATCATGTCTGCCTGTATCCCGCGGAGATAGCTCACATATCTCCAGTAATTAATACTTTATTCGCTTATCGTTACGACTAACTATTGTATTACAGTTTACGCAGATAAAATAGGTCCTCCGAGAGGATTACACTTTCGTAGGATTCCTGTTTCACTTATTTCGCTGCGAGCGTCATACCCAAGAGGTATGATCTCGCTGCTATATCCGTTTTATCCTATTTCTTTCGAAACAGTGAATCCCACGCGCAGAGGGAAGGCCCATCTACGAAGCAATATATCTCAGAAAAAGGAACGTTCATTAATTGTTTCTTGATTGATCTACAAATTATTCGGAAGGTATCGCTTTACGTAAGGAAATTATTTGAAAGAGAAAAGTATTATAAACGATATACAAGCAATCCTTATTTTGTTTCCTATCGTGTGTTGCATGTTTTCGTGGAAAATTAATTAACACGTTTACCGAAATTTAAAAATCTCTTCCTTACATCTGTTCATTAACATCGAAGTAATCATTGATACAGTAAGAATAATGAATATAAGATAAGTCTTCTTTACGCGAGAAACACGATATTATATTGTTCTTAGATAGACAGAACTAAGTCTATTCATCGACGTTATCTTCATTCATTATTAGATACTCTTCTCTCCATTCGATCATCACTTCAGCATCGTTACAAACTACCGGCAATAAGACAAAATTCGACGTTGTTCCACGGAAACTTATTATCTCACCGGAATTCTTAACTACATGTTCAAATCAAACTGATTTCGTTTAATGATCGTGACGCAACGAGACAAATTTTGAATTATTACCACCTTAGCTACAATTTCCGATACACCCGGATCATCTTTCAGCCATTTTACTCGACGACGGGTGTATGAAAATTTTCGTTTCCTTTACTTCTCGATAACTTGTAAAATACGAATATGACCCCAGAATGCTTCTAGGCCCCATTCAAAAGCAAATTGGGCCAATAATATGAATATATCACATTACCTTTTCTCGATTTTAGAGATTTGGAAATGGAAACTCGCAAAATAGTCGAGTACGTTTAAAGAGTCCCCAACCAACGTCTGCAACTTTTACATTTCTTTTACCATTGCTGTATGTCTAGTCTTGTAAACCTGTTTAGCGTATAGTAGTCCAGAGTGATAAAATAGCACGAGTTCTGAACTCTGAAACGCGAATCTGACAATAAACAAAAAAAAAAAAAAAAAACGGTTCGATCACTCAGTTGGGGACACTTGAAATGCGCAACCTCTTCAGATTTTCATCGAATCTCGTTTTCGACAAAACGCGATTGATTCCGCTTTGTTTAACAAAACGGTAACAGAGTTTTCTCGATTCACGCGGACGATGATTTGATGTGATTACTTCGCTGGTTCTTACACGCTCGTATTAGGTAATAGGACATAATAGACATTTTACTCACAAGAATGAGAAAGCCAAGGATTAAATAGAGAAACCAAGAGATGGCCGCATTTCATCTCAGATTTCCGTACTTTTCGCTTAAAATAACGTTTCTACATTGTTTCTTTCATGATCATGTACCACGATTCTCTGGCAAATGACCATTTCATTTACGATGTCTAAACAGTTTACAGTTTCTTTTCTGATTGTGGTCCTATCAATGAAATTGTTACAATAAATATAATAGAGTCGATCGAGCACTGCTAGGATCACAATCTTGATCAAGCACCAATAATATATACGATCGTAAAAAAAATAAACGCTACTGCAGTAAAAAAAAGCAATTTTAATTGTATACACTCGATTACGTGGTTTTGCCCACGGGTTACAGTGCATGTGATCGTTACAGAAGCTTGTCAAAAACTATCGGGAATAATCAGCTCCAATAAAAGGGGAACAAGCGGAAGAGGGACGACTGAATATAACGGATTCAGCATCTATTGGTGCTTGAGCAACTTTTCGATGCGATTAAGGCACTGCAAAAGATTGATCCTTCACAAAAAGCTATTGATCTTCAAAATCTGCGATCCGTTATGTTAAAGAAGCAATGGCATTAATGTGTGAAGATCGAGAGTCATCGGTGATTCAATGTTTGAAGTTACCGTGCAATAAGGCCCAGAGAGATAGATCGCGAAGAGTCAATTTCCCTCCGATTAGTTCATTCAACAACTGTAATTATATGTAAATATATTAATAAAAATAGAACACATGATTAATACTAGGTAAAAAATTAATTTAGAGAGGATACATAAAAGCAACATGTACATTATAATAAAATTCGGTAATCCTGATCAATAATGAAAAAAAAATATTAACAAACACAGAATGATGGAACAGGATATCAATACACTCGTCTGAACCTACTCGATAAATTAAAAAAAAATAATAATACTAAATCGGACCAAATTATTAATATGAAAATTCATTAGATAATATTAACATTTAATATTGATTATTTAAGGTCAGTATTAAACCTCCGATAAATTTTCAAACACATCTTATTCTCATCAGCGATTTTACGGAATACTTTTATGTTCAGTTTCCTTTGCAATGCCTTAAAGGGCAATGTAAATTGAACTTATACGTAAACCTTATGTACTATGTAATTACTTATCCATAGCTCCATCCATAATGTTATTTTTAACTTGAATGCTAATGTGTATTCCATCTCCGGACGCACCTTTATCTTTCTTCGTTTGCGAATTGGACGCATTATCGAGACCCAGCTTACTTAAAGTACACAGAGCTTTCAGTGCTGCTTGATTTCGGCTCGCCGTTCTCGTCGGCCCGTTCCCGTGACAAACTTGTGGTGGATCCGTGCTCAACGTAACAAGCGACAAGTATTCCTTATTTACCGCTCCCTGAAATCAATCGTTCATCCCTCGTTCATCGATCAAAACAAGGTTTTCGTGATTGTGTCTTACCTTTGGGAAATCATTGAATTCCACGCTGAAGTTAAATAATTGAGAAAGATATTTTAACTGATCTTTGGGAGAAGCAGTAGCTGGATTCTGTTGTTGTTGTCCTCGTAGTTCTTCGGCAACAATTTGTACGCTAGGTCCGCTACCTAGTTTAGATTCTTGACCTCCGTCCACTAATAATAGTCCGGGTACCAACTGACGTCCGATTGTTCCTGGCAAACGGAGATAAACTTGAAAAAAGGTGTACGCGTATAAACAATAATGTGATTCTCACAGTCTTACCTCCTACTGGTTGATGAGATTGAGTTTCATTAATCTGCTCATCTTCTAAAAAGGTAACTTTTCTAGGTTTCTGTTCAGAACTTTCGCTATCTCCTGTTTTAATAGATGGCTTCGTGGGTTGCGGCTGCGGTTTGCTGTAACCCAATTGCGCTAAGAGGGCCTCCGCCGCGGCTCTTTTAGCCAATTTCTTATTCGGACCCATTCCTTGAGCAGAATGCTGTCCCATAGTGACTTCCATCACGAATTCTCTTCTCCTCGGCGCGCCTTTCTCTTCGATCAAATTGTAGACCGGTTCCTTCTCTCGTTTAGCCTGCTGTATTTGAACTAATCGCGAAACCGGATTAACTTCCTCCGCGGCGTCAGATTCGGAGCGTGGCTCTTGGTAAACCTTTATGAGGTTCCTCGACTTCTTTTTCGTTGCCGGCGGTTTACGTTTCACTCGTACCAAACGGTTTTGAATAGTTTCCGGCAAAGGCGGCAAACGATTAAGCTCCTCTAACATAAACTCGGCCGCGTGTCTCTTCGATACCTACGTCATAGGAATCGGGAAAGGAAAGCGTGCCTTTTACTTTACTATACAATTTAATGTTTTACCTTCTTTGATGGTCCTTCTCCTAACGTGACTTTATCTCCGACCGTGCATTTTGTCCTGAACGTTCGGATGTGAGGTTTACCAATTTCCGAGACAACTTCGAAACTCACGGGTAAACCACGCTTCAGAGCTTTCTCGTGAACCAACGATACCGGACTCTTCAACTCCGCGATAGGATCCTTCGGTTCGCCCATCGTACCGTTTTCGCCTGGGTTACAACTGTTCGTCACTTCCTCCGGCAATGGCAACTGCCGCAACTGTTCTAAAGCTTTACTCGCAGCATCGTGTCGCGCTGCTTGACCAGTCAGGCCTTTCCCGATGAATTCACGTTCTCCTACCTACAAATCGATACGGTATCTGCAAATATCTGTACGGAAACGGTAGTCGTTCTTTTCATCAAAGTTCTTACTTTTAAAGACACAAGATATAATTGAGGCTCCGCGTTGAAACCGCGATTATACGCCGGCAAACGTGGATTCAATATTCGAGGGAAGTGGCCCATGTAACTGTTAGAAACGTATTGTTGCAGTCCTGCCGGCGGAGCTTGCCTGAAAGTATACACAGTGGCTTCGCCTCTCTTCATAGCCAAAGAATTTAACTCGACGGTCGGTGGCAAGTTTCCTACAACGAACGATCACGCGCTGTGTTGTCGAATCTACTCAAGGGTTTAATAAAGATGTAACGTGGAATTACCAGCTCCGGTGAAACATTTTCCCGGATGGCCGACCCTCATCGCCTTTGTAGGCTTCGGGGGAGGTCGCTGATACCATGTTTTCGTCAACGCTTCAGTCGCTGCGCTATGCTGAGCCTTCTTTATACTAGGACCCTCGGCAACGTATTCCTCCTCCCCCAGCTTCAGCGTTACCGTGAATCGCTTTTTGTGCGCTGGTCCTTGCTCATTGGTCAATCTATACTGATGCTGAATCTTATTAAAACGTGCTAACTCATTCAACAAGCACATCGGTGTTTTTTCTTTCATGTTTGCCAAAGCTGAATCGGTCACGCTGACGTGACCTTGATTAGGCGAATTCTGATCCCTGGACTCTACACTGTTCGGTTCGTTCGTAACTGATTTATTCGATTCTATGATCTGTTGTTGCTGTTGTTGAATGTGCTGCTGTTGCGGAGGTGGATTCTGTTGACTGTTCTGCTGCTGAGCATATTGCGGTGGCTGCACGTTCGGATTTTGTAGAGTCACAGAGACAGTGTTTGCTTGATCGTTCAAACTGACACTGACCATCGTGCCTGAAACCAGGAAGTTCAAGTTGATACACTGCTGGTACGACTGGTTCAGGCTTCTGTTCGTTTGATATTACCGTTTGTATTGTGTGCATTCATGCTCATCAACATTGGTTGCCTCGGATTTCCATGTGGGGGTCCAGGGTGATGTATGTGATGAATATGTTGTTGATGGGGGGGCATGGACAGTATTTGTTGATGCGGGTTCCGATGCGGCATCGGATGCTGAGGCTGATGTAAAGGGGCCATACTTGCCTGCTGCATAGGACGCATCGGACCGCCCATTCTAATCAGACATCGAACACAGTAATTATATACATTGCACTATCTTTTAAATAACGAAGAACATCATTTTTTCGATGTTAGAGAAGACACAACGCACCTGCTGTGATCTCTAAGCTGGTTTTGCATCGCATGATGTTGCTGACGTAACATCTTGTAAAAATGTTATGCAAACCCTGTGAGTAACAAATATATTAAGTATATACTTCTAATTTAACTGACTGACATACTTTCGATTAAACATTACTAAATGAGGGTAAACATTAATACGAACGAGACCGACATTTCTGAATGATAGAATGATAGAATTTTATGTACCGAGCATTGTCTGTTCTTAGAATTAAACTGTTGCAATGGCTTCAGTTTTAAAAACAAAATGATTAAATTCCGGGCATGTGTTTGACAGTAGAAGCAACCGTTAAATAGCAATATTCGTGAGGAGAATTCGATTTATAAAATCTTTCGTAATCAGTAGACGTAACGTGATTAATCGTGTGAAAGAGAATTGTCCTTTTTCTAAATGAACCAGTCAATAGACAATGGGCTTGGCCCGGCTATTTGGTAACGAAATTATGCGGTAGAATTTTCTTACCAAAGTTTGTTCTATTTCACGAAAATTTTCAGTTTATTCGACGACGAAATTTCCAGCGAAACAGATCTGCCACTTTAGGGAACACTGCCAGGCCCTTTATGCGGCTATTGGCAAACAGTAAAGAAAAATCGTCTGTAGACTAAAATGCGGCCATTTTGATGTGAACCTCTCGTCGGCCACCGTCTCTCATCCCTACCAAAGGACATATCCTACTTGCCAATTTTTTTAAAAGTCTACCGTATCGATTACGAGTATCGATACGTCTCGTTTTCTTTCATTATCTATTAACAATTCTGTTTGTTCCAAAAGTAGAGTGACTGACAAAGTGTTTCTTATTACACAGACTATTGATATTTGTTAGTTACAATTAACTATATTGCGAAAATGTATAATAAAGCAAAGTTCTAATTCGCGAGTTTTTAAACCAAACTGATGATCGATGTCTTACATTTTATTCATTCAAAATGATATTACTGAATGTAAGAGACAGGAAAAACGGAAATAAATAAATAAATATTACAGATGTCTATTAACAATGAGAACTCGATGGGAATATAAAGTCACGCGAGCTTGAATGAGATTGTATAACGTAAATTTCGTGTCCACCGACACTTGGCCGCCAAGTTCAGTTAATGTTTGCATGTGTGTGTGCCAAGTGGGTTAGGAATCACTTTGAACGAGTAGACCAATTTTTTTTAGGTCAAAGTTTTCTGAACAACACATGAGGTGAACGCAATAAGTAACAACATTTAAGGAAAGTCGAGATACTTCATGGAAAAAGTAAAATCATTTTAATAGACTGCAGGGCACAAAAACATGGTAAAACACTATTATTCCCCTGATGTTTCAGTTAAAAATATAAAGTTCAGGCTTCTTCTTAACGTGCAAAAATAATAAATTTGTACAGTTTTCGTACTTAAATGATTTTTACATTATTCGATTCATAAAACAATTACAAACAAGCATTCGTTTATAAACGTACAAAAGGCTTAATGAAAATAGCATACAGTGTTCTTCCAGTATTTAGGCAGGTTCTATAATTATCTTGAAAAATTCATCTGGTTCAATTACATTTTTGATAACAAAAATTTCACAACTGCGTTACTTATTATTTCATTATAATTTCGTTCACTTTATTTATCTATTATTTCTGTTATAGAATCGCACTTTGTGTCATACTTATTTAACTTCTTTAATTAACTTTTCTTTGGAGCCAATAAGCGTCTAGCATCATCGTCGTCGAGACTCAGCTAAGCTCCGTTATTATAAAATAATTTATTAAACGTTTAACGATGTTAATTAATAAATAATATCCGATATACAATTTTACTACTAGATTTATAAAGAGTAGAATATAGATATTTAATGTCCTGCAGAAAGTCTCAGGTCGATTATCTTACTCACATCGTCGTGTTTAAATATAAAAGGGCAGCAATTGTAACGTTCATATAAAAATGCTCTTGGGAGAGAATAAAAAGAATGCCCCTTTATATTTAAATTCTATTAATTGATACGGATGATATGTTGCCATCAGTTAGCATGATCTTCCTTTATGTTTTACATTGACGAATGACAAAGTGAGCAGAGAATAGATGGATTCTTGTAGGGGACATGTTTCTAGTACGAATGTTCATGATTTATTTGTCTGATGAATAGGTAAGATAATCCTCCTGCTCAGTTCAGGACAATCTGTGTAATAATCGATGAAATCATTGTCACCTCTTATAGATAGTAACAAGTGATTTGTACATCATTTATTACTTATATAAATCATCCCTATAGCTGTATATCTTTCAACCCACTCGTTACCCACTTTTTACTCATCGTGGAACAACAAATCTTTGTGTATGCACACGTTACGCATTGTTTTCTGTGGCTTTTCGAATTCGAAATTTTAATTTCAAGTCAAATTCAATATATTGTCGTCTTGTAATTCGTGTTACACTGGAACAAACGTGGCGGGTTAAAAAATAAATACAGTTTCATTTTACGCTGATCCTTAATAGCATTAGGCACTGTCAACCCTTCACTGGAAAATGTTTTAATTATTTCTTCTTTTTACAATATTTTTCATGTATTAAAAAACCATTGCCGCGTATACTTAATTTGAAGAAAATAAGATTCACGACGGTGTTGAACAACGTCCACTTTGAAAGTATTTTAATTTGAAAGATTACACGATAAAATATAATATAGTATCTCCTACTTATAAAATGTAATTTTTCCTTTACAATCTTTCCTTAAACAAAAGATATGTATTCAATTTCTAAACTCGCCTATAAGCGTCTTTCAGTTTGTTCAGAGAAATGACTCAAATTTCAATTTATAATATTCACAATATACACAACGAAATTTACAGAGTATATTACATGTAGATACGTCGATCAATTTCTGTATTTATAATCTAAGATCACAATACTGTACGCTAGAACAATAGTAACGGAAGAGACACAATCAAAGAAATACGTAAATATTTCTATTCCAATTTGTCAAATAATCCCTATTGCGCAGCTGGTAGAATTATGATGCTCGAATGACCATATAACTGTTTTCACAACGTTATTGATTTATTTAAAAAGTACAAGGATTTAGGAATTACAGACGTGTAAGCGTCTCAAATGCCTGCATTCAAGACTTTTACACACGATAAATCCTCTGTCTGATAAAAAAAAGAAATATTATAAGATGTGCCAAAAGGCATACTGTTATTAATAATATCAAACGTAATAAATGGAAATGATTACATTTTATATAGCACGTTGATAACTAATAACGAATGATTGGACATCTTAATTAAAATGTTTTTGAATACTTAATAAACGAATAGAAAACAAAATTATCTATGTGTCGAAACTCATGATTCGTAAGAGTTGACGCTATTAAGAGGAAACTTTATTGTCCGAATACACGCTTTCAGAAAATCCGCAAAAAAGACGCAATACGTATTTCTACCAACTGTACATTAACAAAGCGAAGCGACCCTTTCCTAAAAACAAATTAAAACTGAATCTGAAAACCTATCTCCCTGGTTGACAGAATGCTATTTCGTTTCGTTATTAGATTTAACAATTATCACTTCACGAGCTTTGACAACATACATCCTTAAACGCTAAAACGTTTATCTCTTTACAGATGTACGACTTGCTTTTAGCTTTCTGATACTTATTATCCACATTCGTACGCTTTGCTTCCGCATCGTCCAATAATTTCTTATCGGAATAATGATACGACCGATTTTTAACTTATTTTCGTGGCACCATTGTGATTCACCTTGTGGTTCACAGTCCAGGTATCCTCCTGTACAGTTTTCAAGTATTCTTCTAATAACGATGCCAAATTACGTCTTTTGAACCGTAATGATTCTTTCACGATATCTCGCAAAAACGCAAGTCGTATATCTAGAGTCCCTTGAATTTGGTGTAAGTGTGAAAATAGTGTCGCATAATCTGAAACAATATTAGAATTATTGGTACCGCAATGTTCCACGCAGCCACCTATTTACTTACAAAATATCGCTATATATGTTACCGTTAATTCATGAAACGACTAGTTATATGAAATAAGTCCTCTTATTTCATAAATCAACCATATTAGACACTTGAACGGTATCATATACTCCGATACAATAATCGATATCAACTTACTTGTACCTCTTCTTCGTACTTCTTTATATACAAGCTCCCTCACGGACAAGTTATGTCTCCTAATATCTTCCAATTCCTTCTTCGTCAGAACCTTCTCTTTCTCTATCTTCGAGTCGCGTTTCTCCTCGACGTGGTTCGACAATCGTTCGTCGATCGAATTCTCAACTTTCACACTATTATCGAAACACTCGTTCGGAGGTAGTCTGTTGCAGTCGTTCTTAACGTTCTCCGTCTTGACGTTCTCAGTCTTCACTTCGATCTTAGGTGCGTCAACGTTGTTAACTACCGGTGTCAAAGTTGGCGGGTTGGCATCCATGTGATTGTTCGTGTGTTCCACGGAGATCGGTTCGAAGACCGGTATCGTCGGCATCTCCGCAAGCCCGTTTACCAGTTTCTCAGGCGAATTGACGGAAGGCGCATTTGACGCACTCGGCGTGGGATTCGTGTTCGATGGAACTTGACTCGTATCGGCAGTAGGAATCACTTGATTCTTCGTATCGTCGATCCATGGTACCGGAGAACTTGGTGGAGAGTTCGGTGGTGTATAGGATGGTCTCCGTATGACTACGTCCTTAGGAATCGGGCCGGGTTTCCGTTTATTTGGCGGAGGTTTCGACGCAAGTGACCCTCCTCCGTCCGACGCAGGCAACGTACGCTTGAGACCACTCTTGGAAGCTGAAGACGTTGCGCCAACCATATCGATGTCCGCTTCGTCGACCATCATCCTCTTATCTATCTTGAATGGATTACCTGAAATCATATCATAAACACGTTAGCGTTACGCCCGCGTAATTACAATTTTAATTCGATCTAAACATTTTAAACATTTACCAAACATATGTTGTCTAACTGGAGCACTCTCTATTTCTCTCAATGGTGGAGTCATGCGTTTCAAATACTCTTGATAGTTCCCCATTTGTGCTAAGGGCATCGAGTGGACGTAATCGTCATCGAGCAATTTTGTATGCAATAGTCCTGGTTGCAGGAAATTGGCACGCATTCGAACTACTTGATCTAAAAGGGATTTCCGGGGAACGTCGAACGCATTTCTATAACTGTGCGCGCTGCGTTGTTGATTCCGAACTAATCCGACTACGAAGCCACCGAACTCGTTTAATTGATCCCTTAATCCGGTGAATTTGTCTTGTAATAAAGGGTGCGAGACCTGTCAGCGGGACAAAACCAATATAAATATTCCGATATTTAGTGCGAGTTTAGTCGTTAACAAAAAATGTTTACCAAATCTTTCTTTAAAGGAGTTCTAGAAACAACTTTCACTCCCTCAGTCACCGTTGTACTACCATTTGCTAGATTCTTTGTCATGTTCGCAGTAGCAAGCTGCTTGGAAAGAACCTCGTTACAAAGTCTATCGAATTCGATCTTAGCTTGATTCTTCAACCGCTTCAAATAATTTAAGACACTGTAAGACAGCGAATTATCCATGTTATCAGGTATCAACGTTTGTGCTAATGGCGCAGGTGCACCCATCCTAGTTAAAGCTCTCCTAAGGGACTGTAAATTAAAAATATAACGCATTATCAAAGTTAATCATAGTCAAATTCGTTATTTTGATAATATTATTAATATTCATTATCAAAACATACCGCCGCGTAGTACGTGGGCATCGTCCTCATGTAGTTCTGAAACTGAGTTCGCCACTCGTTCGTCGGTTTCAATCTATGAACTTTGAACAACTCTTCCAGCAAGGGAAGAAGCACCGGATAATTGTAGGGCATCACAAAAAGATTGACGCACGTTAAATTGGTGCTCGCTTTCAGGTATCCGAAAGGATGACCAACGTCGCTCGATTTGTACGAGTTGGCGACGAAAACTTGCCAACAGATCGTCGGTTGTTTTCTCGCCAGTATGTACTGCGTCAACGGGCTAGGTTCCAGTTCGTATTTATCGAACGGAAGGTTCTCGATCACCAAAGGCTCTTGGCTGGTACAAGTGAACTTTACGTTCGGATGCGCCGATCTAGGCGGCAATGAACTGGCGCTTAAATCGGGCCAAAAGCTCTCGGGAATCGGCCAGAATCCGACCGCGAAACCTTTCTGCGCGGATCTTGGAACGTATATCAGTCTTCTGCATGAATGCCATGCTGTGTTTCCTGGCATCGTTGGATTCGGTGGATACATTCGCGCTCCGTTCGCTGCATTCGAATCGACTTCATTTTCATCGTCCTCGGTGTGTTGCGCTTCGTTGTTTAACGGTGGAGGATCCGGACCGATCTTCTCGAAATTGATCACCACGCCCGACTGAACTTTTTGTACCAAAGAGTCTATACACTGCATCATCATCCTGAACGACGTTATACAATACGAACGGCCTGTAAGGAACAATTTTTTATATCAACATTGTTTGCGAATGAGAATATAATAAAGAATTCCCTTCTCGTACCTCCGGTAACTTCGCACATGGCGTCTATAGGAGAGGAATCGCTCGCCACTAAACCTGTATCTCTCTCAACAGCTGGAGTTCCAGATAATCGAAGCACCAAAGAGAATAGTCTTTGGTCCCATCTAAATGGTTCTTTCGTTAGCTCGGATCCAGGTATAGGAGAATGCATTGGCAACGTGAACTACAATGGAAACATTTAATGTACCGATGTTCTTTTTCAAAATGATGATCTGTATTAGTCGAAGTAAAGTTAAATAGTTACATCCTGATTAACTCCACTGTTAGTTGTATATTTTCCACCATCAGTAATTACGACAATTACCGATGGTTCTAAATAAAATGGACATCTTCCCTGTCCATACGTATCTATGCCAGTCTGCATACGATTTATATTTAAAACGTCTAAAGCATGCTTCAGAGCAGCACCCAATGTTGTCAATCCGACGCATTGCAAGTTCTTAAGCTCATTCATAAAAGTAGCCAAGTTCTCTTTCCATCCGGCCTAAAAAAAGAGAAAAAAATTGTATTCAATTATACACAGAATGAAACATGTTAGAAATAAACATTTGCAAGGACTTTAGACATTGTACATAAAAACGTTTATTGACAATTGTAAGAGACACATAAATTAGTAGTTGAAATATCATCTACATTGAGAACGTCTCTGTAATCTTTGAGTTCTTTACTCTCATTGCAAGTAACAAATGATGATAAGGCTAGTGGTTCAAGAAAGACATAAAGTGATTGTTTGTTACGAGGTTTTGAGTTCTGTCACTAAAGTTCTGCAATAATGGAGGAGCGAGAAGAACCTCCATGCAACGTTAAGCTTTAAGACAATAAAGAATAGCCATAAAAAAGTTACAACACTCGTGTTGCCCATTGGATCCGTGTATCCGTCCTCTCGTTATCTATTAACGTGCCAGAAACACTGCGGTCCATGCTAACTTCCATCCGGAATCATGGTAATTCTTTATTGTCTCAGGACCCACTGTCGCATGAAAACTCTTTTCACTTCTCTATCATTATTAAACCGGCGACAGTACCTTAATCCTTATAACAATATTGAACAGAACTTGGCCCGTTCTCGAGCCATCAGCCTGATCACCATACTCAATCCTGAAAGAAAATCGGTCTTAGCATCAGCTTGTAAAATGTATTTCGCATAAATCGATGCGAGTAAAGAAACGAACGAGATAAGCGGCTGAACGAAGAAACGCGTCTTGGCGATGGGACCGCGTGGATCAAGTTCGTAAATTTGGCGCGTGCGTGGACACCCATGTAAGAAAGAAAAAACGAGGTCCTCGTGGATAAAACCCCCCACCCGCGTGTCGCTACCCACAATGCTGCTCTTCCGTAACGGAGAACGGAAGATACGGCAAGTGCACGGTGCACTTTGCTGCCTTCTTGGCGAATATCAATTATTCAGCAATCGACGGGGACGAATGGTATGGTAATTTCGCACGAACGTATCGACTGGTCGATCGTGCGAGACGGCGTGTATCATGAATGCATTCGTAGAGAACGATATCCGTCAGTAAATATAATAGATCGGTGAAGTAACTTATGCATGAGACACAGGGGTCCTACATAACAGCTATTCAGTATAGGAAGCGTACGTGTACGTGTGTCGAGAAGGAACGAGCGCAGAGGTGTTAGAAATAAGGAAAAGACACATGCGAACGTAGAGGCGAGCGAGGTGCCTCGAAGAAAGCATACCTTGATATTCTGGGGCGGATCTTCGAAGGTCAGGAGCATGTAACGATCTCCGCGGCTTTCTGGCGATCTTTGCCTTACCTGAAAACAAAAATAACAGATCGGACGGTGAGAGATCGTGTCGGACGGCCGGGCAGCGAGTTCTTCGTTAGACACGTTGCGCTTTCCAGCAACGGTGCGACCTCGGTACGACGAGGACGACGACAAATCGAATCTCCCGGCTGAGAAAGCTGTTCGACTAGCGTACCTTTACGAAAGTCTCCACGGCGCTCTTGGCTACGTCCAAAAGCGTGGGTCGCCCGCCCAAATATGCCCTCTGATTCATGGAGGCCGACGTGTCGATCAAAAAGACTATTATGGTCATCTTCGCGAGGCGAACCCGCTCGTTCTCGAGGTCGTAACTGCGGCCCGAGACCTCCCGTAGTCAGAACTAGCTAGCTAAGAGCCCTACAACGGCGTGGCGCATAGCTGCTTCGACCATTGAACGCTCCCAAATACGCGCTTCGAAAAAACTTCTTTTATCGTAACGGCGCCCGCTTCGCTCTTACTCTCTTTTCTTTCTACCGTTCCTCTCTCTCTCGCTCACTCTCGCTATCTATCTCTATCTCTATCTCTCTTTCTCTCTCTGCCTCTATGTGTACATATACAATTTGTATAATACGCGTGTATACGAATGTATATGTGCTATGTAGTACGTCTTTTTCTTTCTCTTTTCCTCTACACTGAACCGAATCTACTGTTCTCTATGTCGCGCGGCTTTAGTGCTCGAACGACGTGCCTCAATGGACAGACGACAGGATAGCTGAGCAGCTGAAACGCAGCAGCCACGAGATTCGCGAGTTGCGAGTCGGACAGGTCCGTCTGCCAATCTGTCCGGTTGTTCTCTCACGTCTCACACGTTCCCCCTCTTCACCAGTTCCCCGATCTTCTCCCACGTTTCCTTTATCCTCCTCCTTTCCTCGTCGATCCCGTTCTCACTCTATCACTGATCCCGGTGTATCTCGCGTCCTTTGTCTTCTCGCGGACGGTTACTACCGTTCTATCGGTTTCTCATCTCTCTCGTTGCCTACCACCGTACAGCTGTCTCTCTTCCCGATCTATCGTTCCTCCTTACTCCTTCGGACCAGCGAGAACGCAAACTTAACCTTCTCTCTCGGCGGTTTATTCGTATCTGTTGACGGTACCTTCGCCTCGTCCTGTTCGTGGTCACAGACTGCGTCGCGAACCACGTGATCCGACAATTTATCGTTCCATTGGTAGTTTCCCCTCCACGTGAACCTCGTCATACCGTGGCCATGCCACTCCGAAATCTGAAATGCATCGCGGATCCGTACCCTGTATGGGTCGTGTACATGTGGATGCGTGTGTCCAGACGAGACGGTGTTTACTTCTGTCGAATAAACCGTTCCGTTTCTACTTTCTATGTGTTTTACTACGTGTCGCAAGGTATAGGTTCCGCGTTAAAAGCCTGGTTACGCTAGGTTCGTTTCGACTCGCCCAGTTAGACAAGGATACAAGAATAAAGATAATGGTGCAATTAATTAATAGGTAATCTATTTATTTTATTAGCGAGCTTTACGCTGCTCGAGTCTATTCCTCTGTCTGAAACATACGTACGTCTTCAGTTCTTCAGAAACTGAAGAAGCTCAGAACCTAATTATTACAGAACCAAGATTTATACCTGTAGATCCTATATCGCATTTGGTTACTCTTGCAATATATTATTCGACGAATCATCCTGTGATTAATTCTTTAATATCCACACAGTTATGCCTACGTGAGGAATGTACTGTACATATTGTGTCTTCTTGGAGGATCGAAATAAACTCTTGCGATCCGTACATGTGTCTATCGTTCAGTCATTTTTTACCCATCCTTTTTACGATTTCCTGTACTTATAGATACTCTAGGATTCCGATATAAATTCGCAATGACTGATAATTTATCTAAATCGCGTTTGATGATAAATTCTATGTACAAAGCTTTGACCTGCACAACGAAATTCTGTTCATTTATGGGAATAACCAATCAGAGTAGGCTGTTAATGTAGCAGGTTTCTAATTCCAAGTTCACCGCATTCTAACGGATGGATTTACGTACTCCACGATATGAACTCATAAATCTGTATTGCGCAGTATGACTTAATACTTGTTTGAAAACTATTGGAGTAAGCTTGTACTTAAAACTTCTCGAAAGCAGCATGGATAAATCAACTCCGTCGTGGATGAGCCCACCTAAGCGTAGGAAAGTTCGTGACCTTTTAAAAAAATTTGAAAACAATCGAAAAAATGTAAGGGAAACTTTTTCATCTACCTTTTTCATCTGTGACTCTTACCACGTTCGATCTTGAATACACTTTTAGACGTCCGAGTCCGTAATGACATATACTTTCAACAAAAAACGTATTCGGCTTTTGAGCAATTTCAATGATGTTAAAGAAAATTCTAACGGGATTTTGTATTGGATGTTCCGCGACGTTAGGTTACAAGGTATGCAACAGAGACTTTAATTCTGTGGATAATATCAGCATCGAAATAATTGATAAAAATTCTAGACAACTGGGCAATGCTTTTTGCGCAGAGGACTGCTTTGAAAAACAGTCTACCACTGCACGTATGTTTCTGTCTAATGCCAAACTTCCTCGACGCTTCCTTGCGGTATTACAAGTTTCTTTTGAAAGGTTTGATGGAAGTCGAGGAAGACTGTAAGGAGTTAAATATAAACTTTCATCTTTTGCATGGTGAACCAAATGAGAGCGTCCTTAAGTTTGTAAAAAAGTACAACATGGGAGCTGTAATCGCAGACTTTTGCCCATTAAAATTACCTATGTCATGGATCGACGACGTACAAAAGAATCTCCCTAAAGATGTACCCATTTGCCAAGTAAATACAACTACATTTAGTTGCCTAATCAATATTCGTCATTTGATATATTAAACCCTATTAAAGGTGGATGCTCACAATATTGTACCATGTTGGCATGCATCGTCGAAGCAAGAAATTGCTGCCAGGACGATCAGAAATAAAATAAATACGAAACTGGATGAATACCTAACAGAGTTTCCTCCTGTTGTAAAACACCCACATTCGACAGAAGGAAAGTTTCAAAGTAACAATTGGGAAACAACTTTGGATAATGTAGAAGCAGGTAAACCAGAGGATGAAATTAAATGGGCTGAGCCTGGGTATAAAAGTAGCATAAGAGAACTAGAAGATTTCATAGAGACTCGTTTGAAAAGATATGCTGAGCAACGGAATAATCCCTTATCTAATGTCATCAGTAATTTGTCACCTTGGTTTCACTTCGGGATGCTGTCGGTACAGCGTTGCATTTTAGAAATAAAAGAGCACAGAGAATTATATAAACAGTCGGTTGATTCATTCATGGAGGAAGCTATCGTTAGAAAAGAGCTTAGCGATAATTTTTGTTTCTATAATGACAAATACGATCTCGTAGAAGGTGCCTACCCTTGGGCAATAGAAACATTGAACAAACATCGGTAATTTATTTTGTTTATTATAAAATTATATACATTATATATAACTCATTGTGATTCATTTCGATTAGGAAGGATAAGAGGAAGTATATATATTCTTTAAGTCAGTTAGAAAATTGTCAGACTCACGACGACTTATGGAATGCATCTCAGAATCAAATGGTAACAATGGGAAAGATGCACGGCTTTTTAAGGATGTACTGGGCGAAGAAAATATTAGAATGGACCGAATCACCTGAGATTGCTTTGGAATGGGCTAATTACTTAAATAATAAATACAGTATAGATGGCTGTGATCCTAATGGATACGTGGGTCAGTGCCATGACAACATTTTTAAAATGATTGCTTCAAGGCAATTTATATGTTATTTATTTTCTTAGGTTGTGTGTGGTCGATATGTGGTATTCATGATCATGGATGGGGAGAGAGGGATATATTCGGAAAAATTAGGTACATGAATTACGAGGGGTGTAAACGAAAATTTAACGTTCCCGAATTCGTTGCAAAATGGAAACAGAAGGAACTTGATGAATAGTCCGACCGGTATACCCGAATATTTGAAAAAATGGAATGGCTCCAGAGAAATCGAGTTCCAAAACTATATTAAAATCAACGATCTAGTTATTAATTAATAATTGCAGTTAGTCCGTTTACTCAAACTTGTAAGGCACATACTTTTTTACACACACAAAGGGTCTGTAATAACTGTGATACGTCAACATTTCGTATCGTTCGATAGTAATGAAAGCGAAGCGGGAACTGCGTCTAATGAAGTTAACGAAAGTGCAGCAGCTTTCAAACCCAGCGAAAGGCAATCGGTTTCATCAAGATTTTTATGAATACCATAAATTATCCCGGAGGTAAGGCAATCGCCGCAACCACTGACGCTATACGTTTCATTAGGATCATCGGAAATGAAAGACAAGGGTGGATATAAACGTGAACTTATGCTATGAGTAATTAATTTACCTTCTTTATCGTAAAAAGGAGCGTTTCCCAAGGCTTTACGGACTACCTGCAAACAGTTAATTATTAAGATTCCTAATTACCCTTGTTCGAATTTCTGAAACTTACCAGTACTCCTTGTGATCCCAAAGTACTTATAACTACCGGGACGAATTCAGCAACTTGTTCTGCGATCGCTTTCACCTCCTCCAAGTCCAAGATCAATTTGTTATCAGGTACCTTTATACCAAAATATTTTCCGATCACTATTAACTCGTCTCTATTCGGCGATATGAAATGTAACACATGCCGCCACTCCGTCTTTGCCTCAAACACTTTCGTCGCCTTCTGCATGTCCGTAGGCTCGTACCAAACTAGAAATAGAAGTATTACACTCATAAGTAATGTAGAATTATTATTTTTATACATAAAAGAGCACGTATGTTTAAGTGTCATATTCACTTATATAATTCCATATTCTATTCGAACGACCGCGCAGGGAGGTTTAATCACGTTATGTGCCATGCGAAGCGCTGCGGTCCGCCAGTGTACAGTTCAAGAATGGACGTCTATTGCCCCATTAGTGTACAGAGTCGGGATATTTGTATGTGTACATAACTTGACATAACCGTAGCCGAAAAAAAAAAACAATATTTCTTTGGTCACATACAAATTGAAAACAAAATTTGCGGCACAGTTTGTGTAAAAGAAGGGAAACGGTAAAATGGGTAAAACACGAAACGGGAAAGCTGCTGTTATATGTACAGCGATCGCTTTCATCTTAATTGTGATCGCGTTCACCACACCCAACTGGCTCGAAACAGACGGAAAATTGGAAAATCCGCAGTTCATTAAAATCGGTAATTTCATTGACAAATAAGGAACTGTAGCAAAATAAAAAACATTGTTTGGATCTCACGTGGCATTACGATAGAATCATTCTTATAGGTTTGTGGCAAGTGTGCTTCCAAGGATTTGAACATCCGCATCATCTGTATGACACAAAATTTTATGGATGCTGGTGGGTGTTCGAGGAAGAATACTATATAATTCACGACATCCTTCTGCCAGACTTTTTCGTCGCTACGCAGTTCTTTTTCACTCTGTGCCTGACTTTATTGTTAATAGGAGGTTTCTTAACTGTATTATATACGTGTTGCTCACGGCATCACGATAAATATCAATTGCTCCTATGGACAATCGGTGGAAACTTGTTGTTAGGTGGAATCTGTGGCCTTATAGCCGTTATAATATTTGGTGCGAGAGGAGACGGCAGAGACTGGATGCCGAATTGGGAGCACAATGATATTAGCTGGTCTTATGCATTAGCTGTATTAGGGAGCTTTATTCTAGTTGCATCTGGTATGCTGTTCTTGATCGAAGGTCGTAGACACAGAAAGAAACAAGAAAAGATACTGCACGAGGAACAGAAGACGCATACAACTATTTAAATGGAGCGTAGTTCTTCTTCAGAGAAAATGACAAAATGCAATCTCCAAGCGCATGGTTCCGCTGTGAATTTAAATATGTAGACTCATTCTTTCGTATGCTCCACACAGATTCTTTTAAGACTAAGATATTTATACTCATTATTTTTGTAAGTGTTGTCTACGTAACACTCGAAGATCTTTTTTAACTTATGAACCACAATGATGTTTTAAGTATATTTTAATGAAACGGAGAGATGATATTGGAAGAAGTATTTTATAACAGTATAACTGTTTTTACACAAATATATTATGCACACATTGTTCTGTAAGATAATTAAGTAACGATTCCATCCATAGGTGTAAGAAGCTCTATGAAGAGACTAGGAGTTTGTACATATAACTAGTATTACTTGTTTAACTGAAATCTAATTGCATGGCCTTAACAAATATTATATGTTTGTTATATTCTTTTTATATCGGAAAATTGTATGAGAAGTTGTAAACAATAAAATAACTTGTTCAAAATCTGTCTGCCTCTCTAATTTTCTTGTGAACACGTGTAGTTTTAATGAGTGAAGAGAAAAGTTATAGAGAAAAATAATTCGATTTTAAAGCGTAAACAGGGGTCAAACTGTGACCCATTTTACTATCAGGGGAAATAATTCAACGTGAGTTACGACTAAGATTGCGTGCACGAAGATCGATGTCAGGTGTAAGTCGTTGACCCAGTTTAGCTCCTATTTTAATCAGCGGCTTCTACAATTTCGCCTGTACTATATCGATCACACCCTGGAACTCTGGGTTACTATCAGTACGTAAGATCGTTTGGTATTTGATAACGGTTAAGCGAAAGATCATTAAAATGACGAATATCTAATGACTCAAGAATTAAGGCGTTGCTTTAATTCATTAAATCATGAATTGCAACTGGATGAATCATGAGCACACTAACAGGGGGAATACGCCTATTCCGAGAAAAAGAACATCAAATCTAAGGATTTGACATTCTTCTTAATTCTCGTTTCGCAGATCCACGAAACTATATATAGTTACGATGTTAAAAAATTCGTCTCGAATGCATGACGCAAATTAGATATCAACGTTTCCGTTCCATTCATAATTCGTCTCATTTGAAAATGTAAAAATAATCTAGATGAAACGACAATGACGTAATACGAGTACAATAGAGATTTGCATAAAAAATTCTCATGCAAAGTTTACAGTCTTAAGTTTACGACTCTGTTCATTATTCCTTGGACTGCTCAGAATTCCAAATGCATATTTCAAGAACTTTTCAATAGCTTGCCTTTTCATTTATTTTAAACGATCTCCGTTTTTCTTTTTACGGACGATGGGAGATCCTCGATACGACTAGAATGAGGAAAAAGGGAAAAGATGTTCTGTCAATGCCTTTACATATGTGACTCTGTGTGACACACATCTGAAGCGACAGATTGAGAACCTTTTCCTTGTAATACATAACTGCTGGCTCGACTCGTCGTGGGATACTCACAGTTTTACAAGGTTAGGTTGGACGGTACGCTACATGGTCATCACACACAACATAACGTGTTTGGGTGTGGTTAATACCGTGAGATCTTTACTTGATCAGTGAATTCAAATTGTCCAGCGCGCGCGGTGTATTCTGCGTCGTGATTCCCATCGTTCGCGAGACGATCCTTCATGATGAAGAAGAGGAGCTTCTCCGGCAATATCGGCGTCGGTGTTTTCATCGTCGCTTTCGTCTGCGTTTGCGTTGCGTTCGGCACACCAGCATGGCTAGTGAGCGATTATCGGATCACTGGCGCAAAACTTGACAAATTGGGTCTCTGGACCCACTGCTTCAGATCGCTTCCGAATCCGCAGGAAATGGACGCGCCTAGACGATTTTTCGTCGGCTGCAGATGGGTCTACGATCCTTTCACCGCAGGGTACTCCGACATCCGTGGATTTCTACTCCCTCGTAAGTTCCTACGAATGCCAATCGACGAATTCAACGGAGTAATTTCACGATCTTTTGTTCTTACAGCGTTCATGATAGCAACACAGTTTTTCTTCACTGTGTGCCTCCTGCTGAGCTTGGCATCGTTCATCCTGACGTTATTGTTTACCCTGTGCTGTGATCCCGAACAAAAGCGTTATGTACAACTTATAACAACGATCGGGTATCTACTGTTGATCGCTGGTATCAGCGGTGGACTGGCAGTAATCATATTTGCCTGTTTTGGAAACACGGAAGGCTGGATGCCTGGACATACTAACAATTTCTTCGGTTGGTCATTTGCGATGGCAGTCGTTGGTAGCGTACTGACTATTCTAGCTGGTGTACTTTACCTTGTAGAGGCAAACGTTCAGCGCAAGAAACGCCAGTATTTAAAAGAATCTCAAACAAGATTTCAACTCGAATCTCGTACATGAGTTACACCTTACTCAATTTTAAACGTATAAGAGACTTGCACAAGATTTTAGTACCAAAATTTTGTAATATTATTCCGTCCTTGTTAGATAGTTTCATAATGACATTAGATCGTAAGGTTTCCGTTACTTTAGTACAACATTACTAAACTAGATTCATATTTTTGTACATTTTATATATATCTAC